AACATGGACTATGTGCTCGACACTGAACCCAGGACATAAGCATATGATTGTAAGACCCAGCTCCCACAAGCAGAATTGAAAATAGAAGATGCATGAAGACAGTGAGCAAATAGGACTGAGAAACGTGAGCCAGAATGGCCAGCAGCTGGGCTGGGCTGGCCTGGCTGGCCGGAGCCCAGGGCTGAAAAGGGAGTGGTAGGATTTGCACCTGCCCAGGTTAGAGACAGGCGATGCTGGACAGCATTGTGTTCTCCAACTCCCCTTAGCCTGCGGCCGTGCCCTTACGGGAAGGCGCCCGGGAGGCCCCTGTCCTCTGAAGCATGGAGTTCCCACTGGCCATCAGTTCGTGGTGACATTCTGTGCTCTTGTCATGCCTGGTCAGTGGGGTCACGCCTGGCCACCCCTGCCCCAGACCTTGTCTTTACCTTCCTGCTGGGTAAAGGAGACCCAGCCTGTGAGGGAGAAGAGACTGCAACATCACAAATATCTAATGGTCGGGCTGGGAAGGTGGCTCAGTGGTAGAGCGCTTGCCTTGCATGCGTGAGGCCCTGGGTTCGATTCCTCAGCACCACATAAGCAGAAAAAATTTTAAAAAGCCGGAAGTGGCGCTGTGGCTCAAGTGGTAGAGGGCTAGCCTTGAGCTGAAGAGCTGAGGGACAGTGCTCAGGCCCAGAGTTTAGGCCCCACGACCGGACCCAAAAAAACACAAATATCTAATGGTGATACTGATGATTTGGGGGGTTCAGACTTCTCACGCCAACCCTCAAGCCCCCCCCCAGAGAAAGTGGACCATCCAGATCCATCCTGTAGGGAACCATCCCCCGGTTCCCCCAATGTCTCCAACCCGGCTTCTGGCCTCCTGTGATGCCTCAGGCCCCAGCTGTTTTCCTTCTAGAGCTTTCCTGAATCTTCCAGGTTGGAAACCCCAGACAGGCAAGCAGAGGGGCCATGAAGGGAGAGGCAGGAGACCACGTCTACCTCCCCGTCCTCGGCCCCAAGCTCAGGCCGTCTCTCCTGGAGATTTTTCCACCTTTATGCCATTTCCTGGGGCCACCCATCCTCCGTCCCGCCTCCAGCCAAACAGCTCGCTCCTGTCACATTGACCGTGTCATTAGAGGTCCCCTGGCTGCGAGAAAACCATTCCTTAGATTGGAGTTCCACTGGCCTCTATGGGAAGGTCTTGTCACTCCATAGATAAAGAAACAGAGAGCTAGAGAGTTCTGTGGAGGGGTCACAGGCACCCCCACTCCAGCCCCAGGCCCCCCAGCCTGAGTTCTACCACACTGCAGCGTGCCAGGCCAGCCATTTCTCCCACTGGAAAATGAGGGTGGAATTGGAGATCTATCAGCTATGTCCACTCAGGTCCACATTGTCAGGATGACCTTTCCAGCGTGGTCCATTTGTGGAGATTCAATCCCTCTGGGGGAAAGGTTTGGATTTCATTTTTTTATTTTTCTTAGAGTTTCTACTATTTATAGGTTCTTGTTGCCTAGACTCAAGTCACGGAACGTAACTATCAGCTTGAGCTGGCATTCGAAGCCAGCCCGGGATGGGCTGGAGAACGGGGCAGGCCCATATTGGACATCACCAACAGTGGTGTTCCAAGAGTATCACTGTCCCATTGGATGTCGTGAGTACTTACTAAATACAGAACCTGGAGCTCAGTCCTTCCCCAGGGCCATGTCTCCAGGCCTTCTTATGGCGGCTCACAGGGAAGTGTGCCTAGAACCTTCCGTGGCAGATAGAAGAAACACAGGCTCTGAGAGGTGACGTAATTCACCCCACCACACAGCTCCTAAGGTAGGAAGCTGAGACTCCAGCACACCCCCAAATCCTTCTACTGCATTCAAGTCTCTCTGGAGGTCCCTGTGGGACCTGGATAGCTGCATGGAACATTCTGGATCTGCCTGGGAAGCCCAGGCAGATCAGCTCTTCCTTCTGTCTGGCAGCAGAACTTTCACCAAACATCTTATCTCTCCTGATCCAACTCCAGGGTTCAAATTCCCTGAAAGTCTATTTCAGAACTCAAGGGCTGGAGAAAGTGTACTTAAGCATCCTGGCCGCCTCCTTCCCCTCTCATTGCCTCCCCCCACCACCCCCGTGGCATAGAGTTGGTCACAAAGCTCTCTGGTTGTTTGTTTACCTTTTAATAAGTCCCATCTCCTCCGAAAGCTCCTTAACATAACACCACGCCACTTCATTTCTCCTCCAGGCCGAAGCTGCCAGATGGAGCCTTTTTGTCCCAAGCCCCATGGATTTGTCTTACTTTTAAACAGCAATGAACATGGCGTGAAACTAAAGCAGTTGATCAGCTCCCAGGTGTGGGCTCGGCGATGGGGCCGGGATGCGTGGCTGCATCCACTCTGGGCAGCTGCTGCAGATAGGCAGATGCATGAGGGCGTGACGGCCGCGGGCCGCTCCCCGCCAGCTGCCGCTCACATCTGGGCGGCACCCGGCTGAGGCACGCCGCTCTCACGCATCAGCTACCTTCTGTCCCTCCTCACCTACCCTGGCTGGGCTCCCTGGGGGAGCGGTGTGCAGCCCTGGCCTGACAGCTGGGGAGACAGAGCGGACCCCGGAGCAGCCGGTGGCCACCACAAAGGAACCAAGCGCAAGAACAGAGGGTCCCGCGTGTCCCTGAAAAGTCTCACCAAATGTGCTGTCATTTTACAGCATCCATGTATCGTGAGGCTCTTCTAACGAAGGGACTAACTATCCACCCTCTCCACAAATCATCACTAATGAATACACTCACAGAGCTTCTGGCCACCCCCTGGGGAGTCTTGTTTGAGAAACACAGCCCCATGGATGGGACACGTTGGGAAAATGCATTGGGAGAATGGAAAAGGAACAGGCCGGACTCTGTGGTTTATCAAGGAACGGCAAGGGGCACAGACCTTCCCGCAGGTTTGGGGGTTGTGTGAGGGACTGGGTTTTGAGGTGAGCTTCTATAGGGCTTAACAAGGAAACAGAGAATAAAAATGGGCTACAGTCTCCTTGGGATCAAGGGCCATGTCCTTGCTCCACCTGGGGTGAGGGGCTGTTGTCTCCTGGGGGCCCACGTCGGAATGAACTGCCTGTGGACAAGCATGTGAGCCCGCACCTGGGGAAACGGCAGGACTCAATCCTTCAGGATGTCTGTGTTTGGGGGAGCCTAGTAGTGACAGGAAGCATTCTTTTATGATCACAAGTCATTCAAGTAGCACAAGATTGCACCTGAAACAAGGACAGGTTACCAGGACCCTGGCAACTCCCTGGAAACCATGACCAACAGCAAGCAGTGGGAGACTGGTCTAGTCTAACTTTGAGTGTGGGGTTATTCTGCTGCCTGGTCATGGAGATGGACAAGACAACTTGATGGACCCGGTCACAGAAGGAGCTGTTCACATTTGTAATCCTAGCTATTCAGGAGGCTGATATCTGGAGGATCATAGTTGAAAGCCAGCCTGGATAGACAAGTTTGTGAGACTCTACCTCCAAAATAACCAGCAAAAAAAGTCAGGCTGGAGGCATGGCTCAAATGATAGAGTGAAGTGACATTTGAACAAGCAAGTCAAGCAAGTGACTTCATGGGAAAGAAGGAATGAAGGAAAGAAGGAAGGAGGGAGGGAGGGGGAAAGGAGGGAAGGGAAAAGAAGGAAAGGAAAGGGAAGGAAGGGAGGGAGGCAGGGAAGGGAAGGGGAAGGGAAGGAAGGAAACCTAGTTCCTCTGTCTTTTACTCAGAGCATCCCTTGCTCAATGAGAGTGTGATGCACACCAGAATCTCAAAGATTCTATGTCTGAATGTGTAACCAGTGATTCTGGGGCTATTCTAAAGAAAAACTGCTGTATGGAAGTGGAATGAATGTCCCTGGGAAAGGGGCCTACCTGTATTAGATGAAGCAGAGCAGGGTTAAGATGGCTGACAGGAGGTAGCACACCCAATGGTGGGAACTGGAGGTTCCCATGTTCTGTCACGTTGGATCCAAGCTCAGATTTCAGTGCTGTTCTTGAGAGACTCGAGGAGAAATGTTTTGATCTTCAGTTTCCTCATTTGTGAAATGGGAGGTGATAATGTCTACACAAGGGAATGAAATGTTCATAAACACTAGTGCTCAGCATGCTCCCATGATAAATTCGCCATTGTTGTTGCTGCTGCTATTGCCTGAGCTTGATAAACTGGGTGCAATGGAAAAGTAAGTCCTAGCCTCTGAGTTAGTTCTATCATGCTCTGATTCTACTTTTACCTTGTGTCTCATCCCGTCAGACTTCCCAGTGCATTCACCACTTTCCATCACTTTCCAACTTTCATAGACAATGTCCACTATCAGCAACTATCTTACTATCTCTCTTCTTCCCATAATTTAAAAACTACCTTTTCAGCCAGCCATCAGTGGTTCACACCTATAACCCTAGCAACTCAGGAGTCTGAGATCTAAGGATCATCATTTGAAGCCAGCCCCAGGTAGGAAAGTGTACAAGACTATGTCCAAATAAAACACCAAAAGCCAGAGGTAGAGCTGTGACTCAAGTGGTAAAGTACTAGCCCCTTGAACACAAAAGCTCAGGGACAGCATTCAGACCCTGAACTGAAGCCCCAGGACTGGAAAAAACATACTTTTACTCTATCCCAATCCTTCACAATGTTGCTTGCTTCACTGATCACTCACTATCTGGTAGTCAGTGTTCATATGACAGCCTGGCTAACTTCCTCTTCACATTTCTTTCCTGCTAAGATGCAATGGTTGAGCACAGAACTTGATCTATATAGCCTGTAGTCTGTCAAAATTCTAATCACAAAGACCAATCTTTTTTATTACCAGAACCCTGTAAATCACATTTACCTGTTCTAGAGAGAGTATAACCATGGTCCATTGGAACAAGGTACAATTTGGCACAATCTCTTGATAGGTTGACCTGGGAGATAACTTAGGCATGAGTAGGACCTTTCTCCACTCATCCATGCATTTCCTGAGGGGTTGTGAATCCCACTGAGATCCCTGTCTTTCTCCCCACCCAAGGAAGGAGCAGGGCTATGTGCAGAAGTGCTGGAAGGACGTGCGCGTGGGAGACTTCATCCAAATGCACTGCAACGAGATCATCCCAGCAGACATCCTGCTCCTGTTCTCCTCGGACCCCAGCGGCATCTGCCACCTGGAGACCGCCAACCTGGACGGAGAGACCAACCTCAAGCAAAGACGTGTGGTGAAGGGCTTCTCACAGCAGGTAGGCTCTTTCTGGTACCGTCAGTGGTCAGGAACCAGCAAAGACGAAGCCTGTGCCCCCTGGGATTTGTGGCAGCAGGGGAGGTACTTTGCCCTTGAGCCATGCTCCTCACCCTTTTTTTGGCTTTACCTTTCAGAGAGGATCTCATGCCTTTCGTTCAGGGCAATGCCTTTTTCCTCAGGCAGTGATCTTCCTATCCATGCCTCCTATGTAGCTGACGTTATGAGTCACCATGCCTCACTTGTTCATTGAGATGCAGTCTTATTAGTTTTGTTTTGTTTTGGTTGGCCTCACCTGTAACCCTTCTGATCTCCACCTCATGAGTAGCTGGGATTATTATAAGCAGAAGTTACCACCCAGAGACATGTAGTACCCCTTCTTCCCTCCAGTGTTCAACATTTGCTAATTCAAGGACATGGCAGCTACGCTTCTGGTCCATGAAGAGTTCTCTATCAAGCAAGGGAGCCTGTAACACAGGGACATAGTACATACAGCACAACAGGAGCTGTACCAGAGCCTTGAGTGCCAAGAACCTATGGCTGCCTGGTCAGATACAGACTGTACTGTGTGTTCCTTATCTGTGCTAGAAGAGAGAGAGTTTGTGATTCAAGGGAGAGTGGCATTAACAAAGGTGAAGGACAGTGGACATTGTCTATGAATATTCATAAGAGGGATAAGAACCAGTATCTGAAGATTGTGCCAGGTAAACTGTACTGCGTACGGCCAAGCCCCATGAACCATGTCCTTCCTTGTCTGCTCATTAACAGTGCTCAACCTGTAGGTCATGAGGAGAACGAGAGACACCTAATGTGTGCACATTCTCAGGGGCAGCACAGGAACGGCAGAGAAGAGATGCTTCCTCACCAGGAGGTTGACCAGTTATCTCCATTTGTAGAGGTTGACCAGTTCTACTTCTGGTAGGGTACTGGTGATAGGTTGAAATTTACATTAGAGACTAATGCCGTGGCATAGAGTCACGACCCCTGTCCTTGGAAGGAGCAGGATGAGAAAACTGAGGAAGAGAGGGAAGGCTGCCAACAGGAGGAAGAGGACTTGAGCGGTCCTGGGGCCTGGGCAGGTATTGGTGGAGGAACAAGAATGTCAGGAGAGGGCATTTGGGACAAAGAAGTAGTACCTTCTTTTTAGATTCAAGTAAACACGTAGCAAGGAACCTTAGACGGGTCTCATGGAGGATCCACGCGCTTCCAGGCTTGGGTGTGAATGAGGAAGTAATAGAGTCCTGCTGAGGTTGAGTTGCTATGCTCAGATCAGTTCTGCTTCCTCCTCCAGTTGATGGTCCATTATGGTGGGGAGTGTGCCAAGTTGGCTTGGGGCTACCTGGGCCTCCAGCTTTTAATCATTAACCTCCTTTCTCTGTGGTCACAGTGAGATTGCCTCAAAGGTCGGCTCAGTTCTGACATGGCCTAAAACACCAAGCACAGGCATTAGGGCTTGGTACCCAGTAGTTACACATTAAGAGGTGCCACCGGCTGCCACTGTGGCTGCCACCATGGCTTCCACTGGAACTGGAACATCGCCGTCATCATGCTGCTGTGATTATCAAGGCTGTCTGCCCATTGGTCTCTGAGTCGATCTCTGAAGCTGAGATTGGCCTTACCAAATATAAGAATAATAATAGTAATAATAATAATCCTAGGAAACAGAATTGTAAAGCAGCGAGTCACACGTAGAAAGCACTCAACAGCAAACTTGCTGGAAATTTGGAACAACCTATTGGAGGAAGGACCCATCAAAAAAAAATTTTAGCTAGGAGCTGATGGCTCACGCCTATAATCCTTGCTACTCAGGAGGCTGATATCTGAGGATCGAGGTTCAAAGCCAGCCCGGGCAGGAAAGTCCGTGAGACTCTGATCGCCAATAAACCACCAGAAAAACAGAAGTGGCACTGTGGCTCAAGTGGTAGAGCTCTTGCTTTGAGCTGAAGAGCTGAGGGACAGCGCCCAGGCCCAGAATTCAAGCCCCGTGACCAACAACAACAAAAGAATAGATGAGTAAAAGAATTGATGAAAAGTTTGAAGGAAAAAGGACACTTGGTGAGAGTTTTGAACCTGAGAAATGGACAGATAAGCACAATTGCTACATCACTCACTGATGCCCTAGGCGGTGCTTTTCAAAGCTCATTAATATGCACAGTAGTTTCCTTGGATTTTGCTGAAATGCAAAGTCTGGCTTGCTCTTGGGGTGAGCCCTGAGCCGCTGGCCTTTCCCCGATGGGTGAGAGGTGGCTTAGCAGGTGCCTAATTGTCACTGGGAAATGATGTGGCATGTGCGTCAGGAAGATTTAGGCCTTGATACTTTGATAAGCAGACAATCAGTACCGCATTTGACTTACAGTGCTAAGGAGAAGAATTTGTTTCTGGTCCTCTGGCTTTGGGAACTTTTCCATTTATTGAAAGGAATGGATCAGGAATTTATTTTTTGTTGTTAAACCGTTAGACTAACACCCTTGGCATCAGAATGTCAGCCAAGAGAAAGCTGTATAATTTAATTCTCTAATCAAGCTCTCTTGCCTGCTGGGCTAGCATAATACTTGGTATTAAATTCACTTCCTTTCGCCCTGTCCCCAGCCATGTGATATGGGAACTCATTTTTCACAAATAGGTCCGTGACTTGGAGATGTCAAAGAGGGCTCTTCACCACACAGCTTCTGGCTGGAAAAGCAACTGGCTTGGTCCAGGTTGAGCGCTGAGAAAAGAACTCTGGCATCACAGACCCTTCTCGGAGGCTCTTGATGTCTGTCTCTTAACAGGGAGAGGAAGGCCCTGGGCTGTAAGGACTGTCACCTTGTCTGTAGCTGCCCCAGAGCTGTGATCATCTCTGTATTACACTGTGGGTTAACATTTTTCCCAGAAGCATGCTAATACTTATTTGTGCTCAGAATTGGTTCTGAGGCCCAATAAGTTTGGAGAGCTCCAGTTAAAGTTTAAACAGACTTGGTGAATCCTTAAGATTTTGAAAATGGATCCTCCAAGAAGGGTCCATGAAGGCTGGAAAGGTGGCTTAGTAGTAGAGTGCTTGCCTAGCATGCATGAGGCCCTGGGTTCAGATCCACAGTACCACAGAGACAGGAAAAGTTGAAAGTTGTAGAGCGCTAGCTTTAAGCAAAAAGAAGCTCAGGGACAGTGCTCAGGCCCTGAGTTCAAGCCCCAGGACCAGCCAAAAAAAGAAAGAAACTAACCTATGCAGGAGGAGAGTTCTGAACATCCCACCAATAAATACCCATTGTAACTATGACACTGCAGGGTACAAGGAGCCTAACTTGTGCATGTCAGACAAAGGATATCCTCCATCCTCAGGGAGAGGCAATGGCTAGCAGCCCGGTCTCCCCCTGTTCCCCAAACACGCCCCCCCACCTGCTCTCCCTGTTACACACACACACACACACACACACACACACACACACACACACACACACACACACTTGACCTTATAGACTTCTTCTTTAATCACTCAACCATTATAGTTCATGCGATGAAATTGATTATTCTGCCAATACCCCAGGCGTTCCTCCTGAGGCTAGACACTGTGCTGGGCGTACCGTGAGTGTCTCTTCACAGCTGCAGAAGTGAGGTGACACACGGTTGTGTCTTCTGTGAGCCGCCTCGGAGTGTCTCACAATGAAATACACGTTCTCCCCTGGCAAGAACATCGCGCCTCCTGCCATTTTCTTGGCTCAGTTATGGAGAGCAAGGAAACTTACAGCAAAGATCCATCTGGGCGATGCGAGACCCGGGGTTGTAAGAGGCCATTGGTCATCTGGTGGCAGACACCCATATTTTAGGTTGTTCTCACCCTGATTCATTCATCATCTGAATATGAATCAAAGGCCTTCTATAAGATAAGTATGTAGGCTGGGAAGGTGGCTCAGTGGTAGAGCGCTTGCCTTGCATGCCTGAGGCCCTGGATTCGATTCCTCAGCACCACATAAGCAAAAAGAAAAAGCCGGAAGTGGCGCTGTGGCTCAAGTGGTAGAGCGCTAGCCTTGAGCTGAAGAGCTGAGGGACAGCAGTGCCCAGACCCAGAGTTCAGGCCCCATGATCAACCAAAAAGGAAAAAAAAAGACAGATAGATACGTAGAATGTTCTGGGGGTCCGGAAAGAAGGAAGAAACTGAGGCTATGCTTATAGACTAACTGATAGTAATGAAAACACAGTTATAGGAATCATCAATTCCCTATAAATTGACAGAAAAGAAAAGTGTCCTCTCTTGCATTTGCTCCGAATGTCAACCCCAGATGTCAGCAGCCTCCTAGATCGGCCAACATCATCACAAGAGCTCAAGATGTGTCAGCCCTGAACAACAACCAACTTCTTTGTCTACTTAGAGAAAAAGCAACCCTGACTCTTTCCACAGAACCTCCCTCCTGGCCCTCCAGCCCAGGCTGGGAGCTCTGTACACGTGCAGCAAGGGCAGGCTGGGGCCCTGGGATCGGTGGGGTGGGCAGGCTGGGGCCCTGGGATCGGTGGGGCGGGCAGGCTGGGGGCCGCCGGGTGCTCACACAGAGGCTGTGAGCAATTGTCCTTCACGGCTGTGGGTTATCTTGAAGAGAACTTTCACCAACCAGGAAGCAGAAAGGTCATCGAGTGCTGGTAGCTGTCACTACTTTGCAGATAGGCGGCTCAGAAGTGGGAGAGGCGCTCAATTTGTATTCCAGGAAGAAATCTCGGTCTCCTGGCTCAGAAGCTGGCGTGTGAAGAGCATTTGCTTTCACCGTTTAGATAAGATAGGGAAGGAAGAAAAAGGCCAATAAGGAAAGGAGGAGGAGGAGAGAGGGAGGGAAGGAGAGATGGAGGGAGGAAGGGAGGGAGGGAGCGACCTTTAGTATTCCTCCAAGGTCACACGTGTCCACGTGTCTTCCTCTGTTGCCATGGTAACTTACATCCCCCAACACCCCTACCCCTGTCTCAGCCCTGGAGGTCTATCATGGGAAACAGAGGCATCGAAGCTAGGTGATGACTGACTGACAGCTCTTCTTCCCACCCACATCCTTAACTCACAGTGAAAAATAAGTCAGTGCGTTTCCTGTTCGAAGACAGACTGTGGACACTTCCTCTTTCTTCCATCCAACAAAATCTTTCTTGAATATTTCTTCCTGGCCGTGGACAGCTTTCCCAGTGATCTAAAATGGGTTTCTCTCTGCCAAGAGCTTACTGTTATAGGTCTCTCTCAAGACCCTTTGTGATTATTTTTTTTTAAGCAGTCATGTTTTCAGGGCTCAATGTTTAAGAACATTCATTGTTGAAAAAGGTACCAGGCACTGGTAATTCACACTTATAATCCTAGCTACTCAAGAGGCTAAGATCTGAGGATCAAGGTTCAAAGCCAGGCAAGGCGGGAAAGGTCTGTGAGACTCTTATCTCCAATTAAGCACCAAAAAAGCTGGAAATGTGGCTCAAGTGGTAGAGCACTAGCCTTGAGTACAAAAGCTCAGGGATAGCACCCAGGCCCTGGGTTTCAGCCCCAGGACTGGCACCAAATAAAAAGCTACCATAATTTGGTAAGCTTTTTAAATGTGTTTTTTTAATTTGATAACCTCAAGATTTCCTACAGAAATTTGAGGGAAAAAATGGTACACATATCTATGACTTATTGATACTCTTGTCTGTAGAATGCACATTTGGTACCAAAAGGAGATTTGTAGACGCACTGTAATAGCTGCATCTATTAATTGTGGAATTATTGGTAATCAAGAGTTTTAAATAGCAGCTATTATCCATTGCAAGTGAATGACTGGATAATAGGAATTGTCCACATTCAAAGAAGAAAAGTACTGGAAAATGAGCCCAGAAGAATAAAGCTTGAGGCACAGGCAAGGCTCTTAGCCAGTCTTAGCTGGCAGAACGTTTATCAGCTGATTGCTTCCCGCAAGAGCTAGGCGGTGGCTGGCTGTATCTGAGTCACTGAGGAGTGGCTCACACCCAGGCTGTTACTGTGTCACGGCCTTTGGTCCACTTTCCTTTGCTGTCAAAGACCTACCACGGACACCCGGGCCAGACTAGGAGCTTTGCCTTATTTTCTAGCAGCGGCCAGGAACCCATCCCAAATCGCCCCTGAGCACTACTGGCTGCTAATGGTATAACAGGGCACACAGTTCAGAACTGGACGGGGCAGATGCTACTGTCTGAAGCACAAACCAAATGGGCAGGTTTGTGTTGGCCCATGCTACAGATGGAGAGAGTTGAACATGGGATTAGTGAATGAAGAGGAGAGTTAGAAAACAAAGATCTCCCCACTTTGGGCTGTGTCTCATAGCCATTGTTCTACTGTAAAAGCTTGTACACCAGAAATGTGAAAGAAAAACCTAACACAACAAGCAAGTAAAGAATCTGGTTCAAGTCCTAAGCTACATGGAGCTGGGCTGCGGGGGAATATAAAGACCAGCCCATCTCCACCTGGTCTTGAATTCAAATCTCAACCTGGGGTAGCCTTGGGCAGACTCTGTTACCTTTCTGAGTCACACATCTCCCAGCTTTAAAAAATAGAATTCAATTTCCTGCCTCGTAGAATAATAGTGAGTTCTGGTACAGTATTGATTGGGAGACACAGGCCCGGCAGAAATGAGAGGTCATTAAATTCAAGGGGGTGGGATGGTTTGTTTTATGATTGCCACCGTGTTTTTATAATAGCCAAACGGATTATAAAAATGTAAATATTTAATAGTGTCATATTTAAAGGAAATCGTATTCCTAGACTAAGTTTCTGCTTAAGTGTTTATGATGTGATGAAAAATTAATACATAAATATTTTAAAATATGCGAAGGTATAAAAACACTGATCCTTGTTTGAAATGCATAAATGTACATCCATGCATATGCATAGCTGAGTAAGGGAGAAATTTTTTTAAAGCCTGAAACTATTCTATAACCTAAGTGTATTAGCCATGACTGTTTCTAATTAGTGTAGCTTAGAACCCTTTGTTTCTTGCACCTTCCAAGAGTTCGTGTTTGAAACATTTCTGTACATTTTTCATGTAAGCCTTTTGTTTATGTGCTCCTGCAGTATCCAAGGTCATAGCTGTTAGACTAGCCACCTGGAATCAGCTACGTTAAATTCAGTTAACTTTAAAACCCAATTCCTGGGTCAAACTATCAAACTTCCTGTGCCCAACGACCATGTGTGACTGGTGGCCGCCATATTGGATGACACAGACTTAGAACCCATCTAACACCGGGCAGCCTTGACTAAGCTCAGACCCAGGCCTGGTGGCGGCAGACACCTTCCTCTCCCCTGCATTGACTTCCGTTTGTGTCTACGGCCGCCTCTTTGAGGACGTTGAACACACTGGGACCACTCAGGGATTATGTGATTGGTTCTGACCAGTGACCTAAGACCAGAACACAGTGACCTTCCCCCTCTCCCTCAGGATGTCCAGTTCCAGCCAGAGCATTTCTGCAATACGATTGTGTGCGAGAAACCCAACAACCACCTGAACAAGTTTAAAGGTTATATGTAAGTACCTGGCGCCCCGCTTTTCTCTTGAAATGACAAACCAGATTAAGTCTGTGAATCCTGAGGACAGGGGACCTGGGCTTCAGTCTGAGGTCTCCCAATGGCAAGCTGTGTGAGCTTGGGCAGATGAGCTGACCTCTCTGAGCCATTCTCCCAGAGTGTTGTCTTGGGCAGTGTTCCCTACCACCCCAGAACACAGCCATTGTGATCCCCACTTTTCAGATGGAGAGTCTAAGCATCTAAGACACCCAGGCTCACCCCTAGATTGCCTGGCCAAGTACAGGACAGAGGCAGGATTAAAATCCGGGCCTTGGCTCTAGAATCCGGATGTGTTTGCCATTGCCTGGCTCTATGGAGAAAGGGGGAGGTGGAGACAGGCAGGCAGCAGAAGCGGGGATTCGTGGTCTGAGGCTAGCCCGGGCAAAAATGCCAGGCCACATCCGAGAAACAAGCTAAAAACAAAGGACTGGAGGCCTGGTTTGAGTGGTGACAAGAAAGAGGCCCCAAGTTCAACACCCAGTACCATTGAGACAGACAGACAGACAGACATGGTTCCCAAGGGAACAACTCCCTTCTCCCCCATCCAGAGGACACTGGGCTGTGTGGGAGGTGGGGATGGAGGGACAAGCAACCGGCATCTTGTAGATACAGCTGAGCCAGGAAGGGTTCCCATACCGTCCATGCTGGGCCAGAGGCCGGTCCCCACACCCTGACCTACAGCCGGAGAAAGTCGACGCCGAGGCTGCTCCCACATGGGTCCAGGAGGGTCTCCCTGGGGTGGACAGTCCCTGCGATTCGCTGGGTCCCAGGAGCACTTGAACTTGAAGGAGATTGGACCGACGTTCCTTGCCCTTTGCAAGAGGGGAAGTTGGGGAAGGGGTTCGCTTGCCACCCCAGGGACCCCTCTCCACCACCACGGAAGCCACCGAGCCACCCACGTGTGTCTGCCCTTCCCCAGGGAGCATCCTGACCAGACCAGGACGGGCTTCGGCAGCGAGAGCCTGCTGCTGCGAGGCTGCACCATCAGGAACACGGAGGTGGCCGTGGGCATCGTCATCTATGCAGGTGGGCGGGCCCTCGGCTACCCCTGCCTCCCTCCTCCCCCCTCCCTCCTCCCCCCTCCCCCCCCCCTCCCCCTCCCCCCTCCCCCTCCCCCTCCCCCCAGCCCCTCTCCAAGGGCAGCAGAGCCATGCTGAGCACCCACTGATAGCCCAGCGGAGCACATGGGAGCAGGCAGGAGGTTCATGGTGAGCACCTGCTGGTCCACATCTGGCCTGTGAGCCACATCTGGCCTGTGAGCCACATCTGGCCTGTGAGCCACATCTGGGCCTGTGGCCCACGCCACCTGAGCGTAGTGAGTGGGGCTTGACATCCATTAGAAGCTCCCAGGGGAAAACCCAGGGGTGTGCACCATGACAGACACCAACAGGAGCCGGACGACTAACCTCCTCTCTCTCTGTCTCTCTGTCTCTCTCTCTCTCTGTCTGTCTCTCTCTCTGTCTCTCTGTCTGTCTCTCTCTGTCTCTCTCTCTGTCTCTCTCTGTCTCTCTGTCTCTGTCTCTCTGTCTCTGTCTCTCTCTTTCAGGCCATGAAACCAAAGCCATGCTGAACAACAGCGGGCCCCGGTACAAGCGCAGCAAGATCGAGCGGCGCATGAACGTCCACATCTTCTTCTGCGTCGGCCTCCTCTTCCTCATGTGCCTCACGGGAGCTATCGGTATGGAAGGTTCTAGAGAATATTTTTAAATTAAAAAAAAATTAAAACCGTCATCTTCTGTCTCCCGAGGGAAGTTGCTTCAGTTCTCGGAGCCTTCGTTTCTCCCTCTGTAAGACAGAGCCCATACTCGGGAGCCTGAGATCTGGAGGATCACAGTTCTGAGTCAACCCATGCAGAGAAGTCTGCTAGACACCATCTTCAAAATAACCAGCAAAAAGCCAGTCTGGAGGTGTGGTTCCAATGGTAGAATTTCAGCCAAGCAAGCAAGCAAGCCATATAAGGACAAGATCCTGTGTTTAGACTTCAGTACTGCTAAGAAAATCAGAGCTAATTTTGTGTGTGTGTGTGTGTGTGTGTGTGTGTGTGTGTGTGTAAGTAAATTAGTAATCTTAGCTAAGGAAGCTAATATCTGAGGATCAAGGTTCAAAGCCAGCTGAGAATCTTATCTCCTTAGCCATCGAAAAGCTGGAAATGGAGCTGTGGTTCAAACAGTGGAGCACTAACCTTGAGCAAAAAAAAAAAAAAAAGGCTCAGGGACAGAGTCCAGGCCCTGAGTTCAAGCCCCAGGACCAGCACCAATATGTGTGTGTGTGTGTGTGTGTGTGTGTGTGTGTGTGTGTGTACATATATATACATATATACATATATATATATATATATATATATATGCAAGTGAAAATCTGAGAGTTAAGTGTATCCTTAAATATTAGGCATATCCCTCATGATTTATTTGTGGAGGTAACGGATGTGGGACACAGGTGCTCTCTGAACATGGGAAGAAAGCAAGAAGACCCAGTCACAAGACTGGTCCCCACAGTCTAGAAAAATCTACCATCAACCCCCTGGGCTCTGGATGGCTCTCTGCAGGGCGGGGCACAGGTGTAGGTACTAGTTCCCAGTCGCTGCTGTAACAAATGGACGCACTGAGCAATCCCAAACAGCACTTCTGGGCCAGCTCCGGCCTCCGGTGGCTGCCTGCATACCTTGGCTTGCGGCCACCTGCTCCATCTTGAATCCCGGCTCGCATGGCCTTCCTCTCCCCACAGAAGCTCCCCTGTGAGAAGCGCACAGCTCTGCTCACCCTCAACCTACCTGGGAAACCCAGGCTCCTCTCCCATCTGAAAATCTACGACTTAATTACCTCTGCAAGGCCCATGTTGGTATACAACACAGTCCAGGGCCCGGGGTATATCTTGGGAGCAAGACATTATTCAGCCTCCCACAAGGAGCCCCATCAAGGGGAATCTGTTTTTGTGCTGTTGTTTGTTTGTTTGTTTTTGTCAGTCCTGGGGCCTGAACTCTAGGCCCGGGTGCTGTCCCTCAGCTCTTCAGCTCAAGGCGAGCGCTCAACTCCTTGAGCCACAGCACCACTTCCAGCTTTTTCGGCTTATGTGGTGCTGAGGAATCGAACCCAGGGCCTCATGCATGCAAGGCAAGCGCTCTACCACTGAGCCACCTTCCCAGCCCCTTGTTGTTGTTTGATTGCTTTTCTTTTTGGCAGTGTAAGAGTTTGAACTTCGGGCCTTATACTTGCCAGTCAGGGGCTCTACTGCTGGGCCATTCCTCCAACCCTGTGTTTTGCTGGGTTTTGTTGTTGTTGTTTGCTTGGTTTTTGAGATAGGGTCTCACATGTGCCAGGACTGTAATCCACCTTTTTGGGGCATCATTGCTGGGATGTCAGGCTGGGCTCCTCCCCAGAGCCCCCCACCCCCATCCCACTTCCAGGATGTGGTCAAGGACTGAGGGGAGAACTCTGCCTCACCCCTTGTGTGGCTTCTTCCCAGGTCACAGCCTCTGGAACGGAACCTTTCAAGAGCCGCCTCCCTTCGATGTGCCCGACGCCAGTGGGAACTTCCCGCCTGCGGCCCTGGGCGGGTTCTACATGTTTCTCACCATGATTATCTTGCTGCAGGTAGGAGGCCCCAAGAATCTGCCAGCCACGGGGCAGACAGCAGGACCTGCAGGACCCAGTCCTGGAGGTGCGCTCTGTAGTACCTGCCTTTGCTAGAGAAGATGGCCTCAGCCACCCGCACACACCTGTCCCCTCGCTGGTTATAGACGAGGAGGGACATGGGAGGAAAACATGATGTGCCTACCCGCAGCATTGTTGTTTTGTCTGTCACGGGGCTTGAACTCCGGGCCTGGGTGCTGTCACTCAAGGCTAGCACTCCGCCACTTTGAGCTATAGTTCTACTTCTGGTTTTCTGGTGGTTCATTGGACATGAGAGTCTCACGGACTTTCCTGCCCCGGCTGGCTTTGAACCTCGATCCTCAGATCTCAGCCTCCTGAGTAGCTTAGATGACAGGCGTGAGCCACCAGGGCCTCACAAGGGTCATACATTTTAAAAGTGACGTCTTGTGCCAGTCCTGGGGTGCGAACTTAGGGCCTAGGAGCTGTCCCTTTTGCATCTTCTGCTGAAGGCTGGTGCTCTACCACTTGAGCCACATCTTCCACTCGTGGCTCTGAGCTGATTAATTGGAGGTAAAAGTCTCCTATACTTTCCTGCCTGGGCTGGCTTCGAACCCAGGGTCTCAGATCTCAGCCTCCTGAGTGACTTGAGAGCACCAGAATCTTCCAGGATGTCCGTCTGCTTAGAGTCCAGTTCCAAAACCCGGGCTGACTCTGACCCCGACCCTGCGACCCCCGTGACCACCCCCACCATCCATGCACCCCATTCGCCGTGTCCCCACAGACACCCTCACAGCCCAGGGGGAAGAAAGGCCCCAGGAGATTTCAGAATCCGAGGGAGGCTGGTCCCTCGGGGGAAGTCCACCCTGCGAGCTGCCCTCCGGCTTTCACGGCATGCCGCCTGCCCATCTCCCCTCAGATCCTCATCCCCATCTCGCTGTACGTGTCCATCGAGCTGGTGAAGCTTGGCCAGATCTTCCTCCTGCACCACGACCTGGACCTGTACGACGAGGACACCGGCACCGCCATTCAGTGCCGGGCCCTCAACATCACCGAGGACCTGGGCCAGATCCACTACGTCTTCTCCGACAAGACCGGCACGCTCACCGAGAACAAGATGGTGTTCCGCCGCTGCACCATCGGGGGCTCCGAGTTCCGCCACCAAGAGAACGGTGCACACGCCGGGGTCCCAGGGGCTCACCGCTTGAACCACATCATACACACACACACTCACACACACACACCCTGCCCTGTGCTTCTCTGTCTGATGGCTTTTCTCACACCAAGTGTCTGTTCCTGGGGCAGACACTTGTTCCTGGGGAGACAAGGTTTAGGAGTTTCTTGGGCTGCCTGATGGGACATGTCATTGCTATCAGGTCTGGACACAGAGGTCAGGTCTGGACACAGAGGTCAGATCTGGCCCCCACTGGCGAGACCCTCCACCACGCAGTGGTTTGCTGTAGGAGATAAGGCTGTAAGACGTTGCAGATTAGACGGTTCACCTACATGGCTGGCCTATAAACCTGACCACCCCCATGCATGGGCTCACTCCTGTAACCCCAGCCGCTCAGGAAACAGAGATCAGGAGGGTCACAGTTCAAGTGCAACCTGGACAAAAAAAAAGTTACCAAGAGGGCCCCTCCCTCCACCCTGCCACCCAGCTCAACTAGTGAGTGAGGAGTGGTAGCACATGCCTCTCATTCCAGCTACAGAGGAGCCCTGGAGGTAGAGGATCACAGTCTCAGGTCAGCCCTGGGCAAAAATATGAGGGGCTACTCAAAAGGGGCTAAGGGCTTGTAGATCATGTGTACAGCACCTGCCTACAAGCAGGAGGCCATGAGTTCAAATCCCAGGACCATCAGAAAGAAAAAAAAAAAAGATCTGATAGACTCAACCACTTCCCTGCCATAAACACACACTCTCTCTCTCTCTCTTTCTCTCTCACACACACACACACACACGCACGCGCACACACACGCACACGCACACACACGTACTTTCTAACTAGGAAAAGAGCCCCTCAGGGGAACAGCGCTCATTCGTTTTGGGCGGGAGGGGTGGAGGATGCCAAAGAAGGTGTTACAGGGAGCCGCACGCAGCCCCTCCACCATGGGAGATCTCTTTATAACAATAAAAGCAGCTACCACTCCCGGTCAGCCACTTCCACGCAGTCCTAGGAGGTAAATAGAGATGTGAGGGAAGTCGGAGCTCAGACACACACCCAAGAAGGTTCTGGAGGCAAGATCGGGGACCTGGTCTCCATAGCCCAGTGCCCGGTCTTCAGAGCCCTAGAGCCGCTTCCCCTGCTCCCCCCCCCGAACCCCAGCTTCCCCCCCCACCTTGGCCAGCCGATGCATGACCAATCTCCTTTGTTGCAGCCAAGCGATTGGAGACCCCCAAGGAGCGGGACTCGGACCCCGAAGAGTGGACCCAGTACCACAGCCTGCCCTTCCCCGCCAGAGCGGCCCAAGACCAAGCGGCCACAAGAAGTCAGGACGGTGCCCAGCCGCTGAGGAGGAGCCAGAGTGCCCGGGTGCCCCTCCAGGGCCACGCCCGGCAAAGGTCCGCAGGCCGCTGGGACAGCCCGCAGGCCCCCGTGGCCTTCAGCAGCCCCATAGTAAGTCCTTGGTTTGGTTGGTTGGGCTTTTGTCCGTGGTGGGACTTGAACTCAGGGCCCGGATGCTGTGCCTGAGCTTTTCTGCTCAAGGCGAGCAGCACTCTACCACTTGAGCCACAGCACCACTTGCGTTTTGTGTGTGTGTGTTTTTTCTTTTGGTGGTTCACTGGAGATGAGAATCTCACAGACTCTCCTGCCCCCGCTGGGATCAAACCTTGATCCTCAGATCTCAGCCTCCTGAGAAGCTAGGATGACCGGCGTGAGCCTGTGTCCTTGTTTTACCTCTTTGAGTTGCGAGTGTCCCGTGGTAGGAAGAGAGGACGCGGAGGCTTTAGGGCACGGAAGGGCAAAGGATTCTCCACATGGCGGCCTCGGGCCTGTGTGGGCTCAGAAACCGAGAGATGTCCTCGGGACGTGGAGATTTCTTGCTTCTCTTTGAGACAGATTGGAAGTTGAGGGCCAGGGGTTCACCCCTGTAATCCTAGCGACTTGGGAGGCTGCGATCTGAGGATCGTGGCAAGGCCAGCCCAGGCGGGAAGGTTTATTAGAAACCACAGATTCTCTGCCCACGCTGGCTTCAAACCTCTGCCTCCTGAACAGCAGTTTTCTTTACTTACTTTGGACACGGGGGTGTTTGTTCTGTTGCCGTGGGTGGTCTTGAACTTCTGGCCTTCCGGTCATCCTTGTGGATGGTGTCCGTGTGATGCGCTCCTGTGCTGGGGGACACAGCAGCCCTGAGCTCCCCCCCCCCCACCCCAGATCCGGGACCATCGCTGCCTGGCTGACAACTCAAGTTCAAAGTTCACTCGGGAGCAATAAGGAAATGGAGACATGAGTTAGGACTCGATTCTCGCCATGGGTGGGTAAGGATGGGACAGTGACTTGTTCACCCAAGGCGGCCGCAGAGTAAGGGGGGCAGGGTGCAGCAGCACTTAGGGGGTTCTAGAAGAGTCTAGGTAGCAAGGCCTGAAGCACAGGTTCTAGTCTCAGCTCTGCGGCCGACTCACTAGATGACCGCAGCCTGTGGACTCCTATCTTTCCATCCTTCTGCGTTACCTGGCGGGGCCTCAGTTATAATTTTCATCCTGCTTTGTTCTAGAAAATCAAATAGTGAGTCACATACTAGTCAGTGGCTCAAGCCTGTCATCTTAGCAACTCAAGAGGCTGAGGATCATGGTTCAAAGCCAGCTGGGGCAGGAAAATCCATGAGACTCATCTCCAATTCATCTCCCAAAAACCAGCAGTGGAGCTGTGGCTCAAAGTGGCAGAGCCTTAGCCTTGAGCAGACAGGCTCAGGGACAGCGCTCAGGCCCTGAGTTCAAGCCCCAGGACCAACGCACCTGCGTGCACACACACACACACACACACACACACACACACACACACACACAGAGCAGGCCCTGAGTCCTGAGTTGTCCCTCTTGCATGCATCCTGGGGTTTGTTTTTTTCATGTTGTTGTTGCTTGGGGTTTTTTTTTATTCTTTTACTATCAAAAACGAGGAAGCAGGAATAATTCTGTCTTAATTGCCCGCTATAAAGCCTGTGGTTTTGAGGTAGGTAATATACTTAGGAAAATGGCCATTTCTGAGCCAAGGTTTAATAGCACGGCAGATGGAAGATAAAACAGCCTTAGGTTTCGTTTCTGGCCGGTAGGAAGCCAGGCCGCCAGCGGAGCGCCCTTCCTTACCAAAAGCCTCTTCCCACACAATGCTTCCCAGGACGGGGCTGTGGAGTTTGTACCTGGAGAACACGGGGACGGGGCTGTGGAGTTTGTACCTGGAGAACACGGGGGAGGCAGGGGGAAGCCCCACCCACCCTGCCCGCTGCAGCTAGCCCTGAGCCCTGACTTAATGACTCCTTTCTGGGGCAGGGGCTTCCCTGCCCCGCCTCTGCTGCCCGGGCCTCAAAGTCCCAAATGAAGTTCTAAGATCAGATATGGAAAGAAACACCTGCTTTGGGAAAGGAATGGGGTTGGAACTCCGGGCCTTGCAGCATGCTAGGCAGACACTCTACTACTTGAGCCATACCTCAGCCTATATTTTTGGGGGGCCTCTGTTTTCAGATAGGGTCTGAGACTATTATTAACCTGACCAGCCTCAGATCAAGATCCTCTTGCCTCTGCCTCCCCAAGAGCTGGGATTAGAGGCCTACACCTCTCTTCTTTTGGGATTCAAAGGCCACTGTATAATTTCCACAGATTTTTTGTCCCATTGGTGGGAAACTTGCCTTTAACAACCCATTTGTTGTTCATACAGGGGGGTAGAGAGGTACTGGGGTACTAGGATTAAACTCAGGACCTGGGTGCTGTCCCTGAGTTGTTTTGTGCAAGGCTAGTGCTCTACCACTTCCAGCTTTTTGGGGAGTTCATTGGCGATAAGAGTCTCATGGGCATTCCTGCCTGGGCTTGGATCCTCAGATCTCAGCCTCCTGAGTAGCTTGGATTACAGGCGTGAGCCACCCGTGCAATCCAAGTCCTGTGAAGTGAGCGTTGGGCAACCGTGTGCTGTCCAAGGGAGCATTGGGCTTTCCCAGTGTTTTCCATCATAGGAGGGCAACCCAGGAAATCTGTTTCTATGATAGTATCACAACCACCGGCTAAGGATTCAAAGAGAATCAAAGGCCAGATGGCAGAGCTGAAGTGTGTGTCTCCACCAACCCCGGGGACAGCCATCAGGGGCAGCTGCCTCTCAGCCTCTCCCCACTGTTACAGGAGAAAACCTGTGTGAGCTAGAGGAATCGTTCAGGGGTTCTGGGGGGAAGCTGGAAGGAAAGGTGCAAGTCAGGGAGAGGTGAGGAAGGAGAGGAGGACACAGGAGCATTCATGCCACAAAGGGTTAACTGGAGGGGAGGGGGGAGGCCCAACCTGTTTGCTCTCTTCTCTAGTTTGATGGGTTGCCATAGCAACAAGAGCCTGCCGCCAATCGGTGAGCTTCCAGGGTGAACTGGGTGACTTATTCAAGCTGACAGGAGAGCAGAGTGGAGCTGGGCCTACTCTCCCCACCCAGCCTTGGGGTGGGGAGACCCCCACTGACGGCCATGGGACCCCAGACCCCAGATCCTACATGGCCCTTGGATCACAGCACAAGTGCCACCTGGATAAGGATTCAGATGCCCAGGCTCTGCTGCACACCTGCTAAATTAGAGTCTGCATTTCAATCAGACGCCCAGTTGATTTGGATCTGCATTTAGGTTTAGGGAAGCACTGGCATTGTATGGGGGGCGGGGGTGATTGACATCAGAAAGAGCAAGATTCAAAAGCTAGCGTGGAATGAGTAACCTGGGGCTTTGGGAGTCCCATTTGCCTGAATCAAAGTGAAAAGCGAGAGTAATGAGACCAGCATTGTTCCTTGGTTAGGTGAAGTTCGAGATCCCATTCGGGCAAGGCCTGACTCTGGGCTACATTCCCCACCGTCCCTGTAACCTGAGCAGCAGGACTCTCCCGTGTGAACACTCCACAGAGGAGCCTGTGAATGGAAATGAAGTAGAGAGTACTAGTGAAAGGAATCCTTGGACAAGCATCCAGCATGGTGCCTGCCTGGAATCTGTCATGCGGAGGGACACACACACACACACACACACACACACACACACACACACACACACACACACACACACACACACACACACACACACACACACACACACACACCAGAGATGGCCTCAGCCCTCACAATGCTTGCAGATCAGGTCAGAGACATGGAGTAAATAATAGGCAGTGGTTTTGACCACTTGGGCATTTGGAGATGCATGATGCACAGCCTGGAGCAGAGTAGTGCCTTGTCAGAGGCTGAGGCCAGGGCAGGGGAGGGGAGGAAGGAGAGGGGAGGGAAGGAGAAGGGAAGAGGGAGGAAGGAAGAGAGAAAGGGGAAGAAAGAGTAAGAAAAGGAGGAGAGAGATGAGTGGAGAGGAGGTAGAGGGGAAGGGAGGAGAGATAGGGGAGTGAAGGGAGGGAGGGGGAAGGAGAAGAGGGAGGGGAGAAAGAAGGGAAAGGAGAAGGAAGATAAGAGGGGAAATGGGGAGAAGAAAAGAGAGGGGAGGGCGAAGTGGAGATGGGGAAGAGGAGAGGAGAGGGTGGGAAAAGAGGAAAGGAGAGAAGAGAGGAGGGAAAGGAGGAGAGAGGGAGAGGAGAGGGAGAGAGGAAGGAAGGGGAGGAGAAAGGAAAGAAGATAAGGAGAGGATGAAAGGGGAGAGGAGAGAAGGAGGGAAGGGAAGGGGAGGAGAGAGGAGAGAGGGAGAGTAGAAGAGAAGAGGGGAAGGAGAAAGGGGAAGAGAGAGGGAGAGGAGGGGAGGGAAGGGGAGGAGAGAGAAGAGAGGGAGAGTAGAAGAGGGGAAGGAGGGGAGGGAAGGGGAGGAGAGAAGACAGAAGAGAGGGAAAGGAAGGGAGGGAACAGGAGAAGAGAGGAAAGAAGAGAGGAAGGGGAAGGAGAGGAGAGGAGATACTCCCCTCTGGTTATCTGAGAAGTCAGGGTAGCTCTCAGACCCCCAACTCCATCACACACCACACCCTCAGCTCTCCCCCCCCACCCCACCCCACTTCCAGTGTTTACCTTACCTGCCTGACATGGTGGTTGTGACTCCAAGGTCTCCACTGTGGACAAGGGGGCTCTCGCGGTGACTGGCAGGGGCAGGACATCAAGGACCGGAGAGGGCTTTCACAAACACAAGGAATATGCACGCAGCACATGGCCAAGGGAACAGGGGCTACGGGTCCACACCGAGAGCCAGAGGAGGGTCAAAGAAGGAAAAGTAGAAATGCCAACCATCAACTAACCAGGAAAGCTAGAGAGTAAGACAAAGCTATGGCTGAGGGAAGTGGAGTTTTGGGAAGCAAGGAAACAGATGGAAGGCCGCCATATTGGTTTAGCGGCTGGGGCAGAAATCCAAGATGGCGGGCTGGAGAGGGAAATGTTTGGGAACCAAGACAGCAAGGCTGCAAAGAATCTACTGGAAGACACCCTCCTCCCCTAGACCTCTCAGGAAAGATGTTCTTGGCCTTTCTCTTCCAGGAAAAAGACGTGACCCCAGATAAAACCCTTCTGAGCAAGGTGCAAGATGCTGCTCTGTGGCTGGAGTCCCTGGCCCAGGCCCGGCCTGCCCAGCCTGCCCACGCGGCCACCGCCTCCATCGCCGACTTCTTCCTTGCCCTGGCTATCTGCAACTCGGTCATGGTGTCCACCACCACCGCGCCCCGGCGGAGAGTGAGGACCTCTGAGGGCCGGGGGGAGGGGAGCAGAGGGAGGTAGAGGGGGAGGGAGGGGAAGAGCTCTGGTCACAGAGACATGAGCCCTGGGTTCTACCCACAAGATCAACGTTCTGTTACTGTGAGACCCAGAAAAGGTGCTTTGCCCATTGGGTCTGTTCCCTTATTTCTGTTTTATGGAGGAATTTTTTGTTGTTGTTCCAGTCTTGGAGCTTGAACTCAGGGACCAGATGCTGTCCGTGAGCTTTTCTGCTCAAGGCAAGCACGCTACCACTTTGAGCCACAGTGCCACTTCTGGTTTTCTGGTGGTTCATTGGAGATAAGAGTCTCATGGACTTTCCTGCCCCAGCTGGCTTTGAACCATGATCCTCATATCTCAAACTCCTGAGTAGCTAGGATGACAGGTGTGAGCCACCAGCACCAGGCTGGGTTCCTTCCTTCCTTCCTTTCCTTTTCTTCTTTTCTTCTCTTTTCTTTCCTCCTTTCTTGCTCTAGTCCTTGAACTAGGGGCTTGAACGCAGGGCCTAGGCATTGTCCCTGAATTTTTCTTGCTCAAGGCTAGCACTCTACTATGTGAGCCACAGCTTCACATCTGGCTTTTGGGCAGTTAAGAGTCTCACACATTTTCCTGCCTGAGCTGGATTTGAACCTGTGATCCTCAGATCACAGCCTCCTGAGTTAGGATTATAGGTGTGAGCCACCAACACCCAGCTGTTGCCTTGTCTTTAAACAGAATGTGAGAAGGTATACCTTAACTCTGGGCAACTTTCATACTTTGTTTAAGCCCGTGGGGTAGACAGTAAGAGTCAGTAGTACTGAATGTGTGGCTGTGTGCTAAACCCCTCACCTGCATCACCATTTCCTCCTGCCGTCTCCGGAACCTGTGAGGTATGTTTGGGGACGGAGCAAATGAATAGAGATTGAGAATGTAAGACTCCAATATGGCTCCCGGGCTATGTTGTTACATGGATCTCTAAGCATGAGGCTCTTTCCATGGAAATATGAAGGCGGGCATTGATGTCAAGTTAGACCTTGAAATCCACTCAAGGTAGATCTGCCTTCAATTCTTCACAAACTCAGGAAGCATGAGCTGAGACCTGAAGCCTACTTTGGAAAGTGGCAGGAAGTAGCACTCACCGGCCAGCGCTGAGTTCCAGCTCTGCCACCCATCCACACACTCTCCCTGGGGGATGGTGGCCCCTGCGTGGCTCATGGTGGGCCTGCTGGCTTCCTCGGCCATCTCGATGGCGTCCGGGGTCAGGGAAGGTGACCCTGGAGACGTTACATCAAGATAAAGCAGATACAGGGGATCATCCAGGACCTGCGTTCTGATCTCACGTGTCTGACTTGTATCTCCTTGGCTTTCCCTTGGACCAAGCTCAGAGTGGAATGCTCAGGGAAAAAGATAGATAGATAGATAGATAGATAGATAGATAGATAGATAGATAGATAGATAGATAGATAGATAGATAGATAGATAGATAGATAGATAGATAGATATAGAGAAAGGAACAGCTGGGAACTGGTGGCTTACGCCTGTCATCCTAGCTACTCAGGAGGCTGAGATCTGAGGATCCCAGTTCAAGGCCAGCCCAGGCAGGAAAATCCATGAGCCTCTGATCTCCAATAAACCACCAGAAAACCGGAAGTGGCGCTGTAGCTCAAGTGGTAGAGCACTCGCCTTGAGCTGAAGAGCTGAGGGACAGCGCCCAGGCCCTGAGTTCAAGTCCCACGACCAACCAAAAGAAAAAAAATAGAGGACACTGAGCTGTCGTTGCTCCCTCATCCTACGGGAGGATCCCCCCCCCAAAAAAAACGCCCCAAGAATCCACTTGGGGCCCGCCGCCCCTCTCCTGCATGGGGCCCATGGGTGTAACGTGGGCCTCTCTCCCTTGGGGCCCAGGTCACCCTTCCGCCCTCCTCCAGGGCGCTGGGCACCTCCCTGGAGAAGATCCAGCAGCTGTTCCAGAGGCTGAAGCTCCTGGGGCTCAGCCAGTCCTTCTCGTCCACCGCGCCCTCGGACACGGACCTCGGGGAGAGCCTGGGACCCCACTTGCCCACCGCGGACTCGGAGGAGAAAGATGGGGCGTCGGTGTGCAGCCGGGACTCCTCCTCGGACTGCGGCTACCGGAGCAGCGCGTGGGAACAGGGGGACCGGCTGGAGTCCGGCTCGGGGGCCTCGCTGGAGGAGGGGCTGGGGCCCCCCGGGCTCGGCCTGGCCGGGGCTGAGCTGTGCTACGAGGCCGAGAGCCCGGACGAGGCCGCCCTGGTCCACGCTGCCCGCGCCTACAGCTTCACGCTGGTGTCCCGGACCCCCGAGCAGGTGACCGTGCGCCTGCCACAGGGCACCTGCCTCTCCTTCGACCTCCTCTACACCCTGGGCTTCGACGCGGTCAGGAAGAGGATGTCCGTGGTGGTGAGGCACCCGCTGACCGGCCAGATCGTCGTCTATACCAAGGGCGCCGACTCGGTCATCATGGACCTGCTGGAAGACCCGGCCTGTGGTGAGTCGCCCCTTCTCAGGTGCTGGGTGGTCAAGAGAGGCACTGTGGAGTGGTAAGGACCAGTCTAGCAGGCTCTACCTAGAATACCGGCCTGGGAGATCCACTCAGAGCCAGGTCTTTGTGGACTGGCAGATCACAAGGCTCATTAGCATTGCTAAAGGCCCCAGAAGGCTTCCAGCAGGCTGCCATGTTGATCCCTTTTTCCAAACTCGTTTACACGTGGATTGTTCACACGTGGTAGGAATGCCCTGATACACCTCCCAGTGCCTGGAACTCTGGGGGCAACTCTGAACGGAAACGGAAGGATTCACCAGATGTGGTCAATCAGGGTGAAATTCTGGGTCCTCTTATATCCTCCTTTGCCCACCCGCTTTCCTACCACACTGCGCCTGGCAGCGGCGTGCAACTGCCCCGTGATGGCGAGCAAGCCAGAGACGGTGATGGGACTGTGAGTCTCTCCGGATAGTAGATGCCAGCCAAGCTTGAGAATCGCCCCAGCAGACCTGGGCATCCAACGCCATCGAGCCCTGGAACCCCGCCAAGAGGTTCATGGGATTGATGAGTGTTTAGAATGGGAAGGGAGCTAATTACTTCTCTTCATCTCAGCCTCTGGCAGGCTAGCAAACCCAACACTTGCATGACATTCTCTTTCTCTGGGCGGTTAGCCATCCACGTTGCCCTGGAGATAATATTAGTTTCTGCCTTCTTCATCCCATCCCACAATGGATGGCAGATGCTTCCAGGGAAAGATACAAGTGCCGTGTTGCTGTCAACACGGGGGAAAGCAAAACTTGGAAGGGAAAGAGAACTCTAGGCTTGATATGTTGTAGCCTTTGAACATTCCACACTGAGGTTCCTGGCAGCCTAAGCAAAAAGGTAAATGCAAGCCCAAAGGGTTTGATCTCCGACATTGGTGCCTTCCAAATTAAAATACTGTTCATAAGTGGTTGATAAGAAAAGGCCTACGTGAGAATGTGCTTCAAGCACCTGAATAATGAAAACGTAAAAAATAAATAAATATCAGCATTATTGCACCTTTCTACAGTTAGCTCCCCATCAGGAAGGTGAGTTTTAGCTTTGCGTTGTATCCAGGGTTAGAGGGAGAGACACAAATGTCTGTCCACTGCTTAGGAGTCTAGACTTGGTTCTCAGTCTGGCCCGGGGAAAGGATTCGAGGCTTTGTGCCAGCTCAGCTTTGCAGAGTATTGCAATGGTTTAGTGACACCTTCATGGCCGCTTTGACCAAGGAAATGCTGACAGTGTTTGTCCTGCCCCACACCTGTCATCCTAGCTACTCTGGAGGCTGAGATCTGAGGATTGTGGTTCAAAGCCAGCCCGGGCAGGAAAGTCCATGAGACTCTTATCTCTAATGAACCACCAGAAAACCAGAAGTGGTGCTGTGGCTCAAGTGGTAGAGCGCTCGCTTTGAGCTAAAGAGCTGAGGGACAGAGCCCAGGCCCAGAGTTCAAGCCCCACAACCGACACACACACACACACACACACACACACACACACACACACACACACACACACACACACATACACACAAAGCATCTGATCATGAAAAGTATTGAAATTTCAAGAGAAAGACAAGTTTCTCCTGCAAGAAATGTATTATGTAGAAGATCCACAGAAGGGATTTTTTTGGAATATCACACTGAAACATTTTTCACCCAAGATTTACAGGAAATACAAACACTATATTAGTTTTTTTCTAAAAGCATCTGTTTGCCAAACTTACCAAACCCTGAGTGGTGACGAACCTAAGCTCATGACATCCGGGTTGGAAAGCTGTCATAGGACGTGAGCGGATACAGGCAACAGAGAGGAAGCTGATGGTAGTATCAAATCTTCAGCCTTAGTCATGGATTTCCAAGGCTGGAAAGTTAGGCAGGCAGGACTAAGCTGGGCACAGAGGAAAGGCATTGGTCAGCTGGGACAATCCTGGTCTTCTGGGAGAGGGGGAACGGGACCACATGCATGCAGGGCTTCATGGGAAAAGATGACTGTTTTGACAGCGACTGACGTGAATGAGGAAAAGCAGCTGAAGAAAATCCGACTCCGCACCCAGAACCATCTAGATCTGTATGCCCGAGACGGCCTGAGGACACTGTGCATCGCCAAGAAGGTAAGAAGCCATTTTCCTCAGCCCGCCCTGGCCACCAGCAGAGAGCTGAATGGCCTTGCCCTGGGTCAGTCGGTCAGTCAGTCTGTCTTCATCATTCCCACCCCCACCCCCTGCTTTGGATTTGGCAGCTCTTTATGCATCTGCGATATCATTCCCGATTTCCTTTTCTCTTGCAAATTGAGAGCAGCTGGCAAATCTGGGTCTCCGTGGGTGGCACAGCACTCGGCCACTGTCCGTCTGTCCATCCGTGTAGCAGTTGGTCCTTGGATGAGGGCTGCGGGCTGGGGTTCTGCTCCGCTCTGGCCACGGGCAGTGCCGTTCCCTGGTGCTTTGTGCTGAGCCCAGCTACCGTGGGACAGAAGGCTGGGAATTTCAGGGACAGGGCATCTGTTGCTTCTGCCTTCCCCCAAGATCTAGTAGGCGTGATGCTCTAGGTCTAGTATGCTGTCATGGCCATATACATTTCTAGATGGAGCTACGGGGTGATCACGTGAAAGCCACACCAGCCTTGCTACAGGGCCTCATCTCCCCCCACTTCCAATGGAGAGATGATTTTGTTTTGAGTCATGAAATGGCGCTGGCCGCTCCCTGGTCTCACCTCGTGGCATGCGCCAGCACCTGGGACAAGTCCTCGGCACTGCGGGTTCAAATCACACCCTCACCGCTTCTGCTCTCGGACCCCTGGCCTTGGCTCGGCCTCGTGGATTCCACGGCCACTCCTCAAAAGGCCTATCTGTGTCACTTTGGTTTTCTTTACAACGTCATGGGGCTGGGGGAGAGCACGCAGGACGTGTTTGGTGCTCGGACCAAAGCATCCTTCATTTCTATAAGAGATGGGGTGCTTGTAACCCCAAGAGGAGGGTCCAAACATGGGGGCTCTGGGGAAAGAAGGCACAGCCTTGTTGGGGGGACCTCAGATCTGTGAGGGTGTCCACGAGCTGGGCAGGATACAGCCGCCGCTTTCAGGCCTCGTTTCCAGCCCTTTCCCTCCCTGGCTTCACATCCCCCCAGCAACTAGCACATTCAGGGGACAGAGAGAAGGTAAGGCTGTGACTGCCCTGGCTCCTCCCCCTGCCAGGCCCCTTCCCCCTCATTGGATCTTAGGCTGTACGTCACCTGTCAAGGAGACCTGAACAGCCAATAGAATGCAGCCTCTGTTCCCAGTAACTCTCTCCCTGCCCCCCCCCCCCCCACACACACACAGCATTGTCCAGCATCTCTTCCCTTTTGTATTATCTGTGCCACGTTCCTGGAAGGCCTCTTGTGCCACTTACTTGCCCAATGTCCCTCCGTCTCCCTCGGTCAACAAGTCAAGCCCAGGAGCCTTGTCTCCATCTGGATCAACTCCCATGCCCCGAGCGTAACCAGATCTCAACAGATTCTCGGTGATCATGGTACAGAACGAGCCACCTTTGAGTTTTGCCTTTAAGCCAACATCGTTCTCGCCGTGCTCTAGCGAGGCTAGAAAAGCCCACCTTGCGGGTGGGAGAGGAGGGCACGTGCCAGCCTGTTGAGCCCTTGGAGGTGACTCACAGGCCTCTTCCTGCCCCCACCCCACCCTACACAGGTCGTAGGCGAAGAGGACTTCCGGCGATGGGTCAGTTTCCGGCGTGAGGCCGAGGCCTCCCTGGACAACCGGGATGAGCTTCTCATGGAGACTGCGCAGCACCTGGAGAGCCACCTCACCTTGCTAGGTAAGCTAACGATGAATCGGCCCAGCACACCAGCCTCACGCTCCACTCAGCCGCTCCAGGTGAGGAAGAATGGCTCTCGGTGTCCCCCAGCTCGGACAGGCCTCACAGCTCCCCTGTCGCCTTTGCTCGTGGACACACCAGGAAATGCGTTTTCCATCCTCTCTCGTCCTGGCTGCCCCGGTTTATACATGGGCTCCGGGAGCCGCACCTGGCAGCCTGGGAGAGAAAGGTGCTTCTGTGTACCTGAACTCTAACGCTGGCCCAGGGAAGAGATGTGCTCTCCGGGCTAAGTCTCTAAACCAAAGCAGTGCTCTGAGCACGCTGGATTATTACAAAGAGACAAACTGCCAGGGTGAAATGGACAGCCAGCCGTCTGCGGCTGGAAATGAAGCTCCATTGAAATGCAGATTTATTTTATTTTTTGCTCAATCACGGAGCAAGCTGTTCGCTGCTGGAGGAATATACTCCTGGGGCCACGCGCACCTGCCACCGTTCAAGGCTGATGCACCGCATGTTAAGTCCATCCTGAAGTGGGCCAGCATCTGAGTCCCGGTTAATTCAGCCATCTCTGGGAGGACGAGGGCTGGAGCCTTCCCTCTCCTCCCCATTGGTGGTAGAAATATCCAGATCCCCTTGGCAGAAGAGATTTTTTTCCCCAAAAAGAAAGTTGATTGGAAACACAAATTTAACTCCCTCCCTCTCCCACCCAACACCCCTGAGTAACTTCCTTTGCTACTGAATCCATGGCAATTCTTCTAGGCTCAGAGCAAGCAGCAGTGCTCAGCCTTTCCTGCCCCTTCCCCTCTCCTCCCCCTCTCCCCCCTCCAAACCCCCTCTCCCTCCTGCTTCCAGTCTAACTTCTCTCCTCCCCCTCCCTCCTCTCCCCTCCTCTTCCCCATCCCCTCCTCTCTCCCCCTCTCCCTCCCCTCTACCTCCTCACGCTTCCCCATCTCCACCTTCATTCCTTCCTGCAGCTTTCTTTCCCTCTCTCCCCCCTCTCCTCCCGCTCTCCCTCTCCCCTTCTATTTCCCTTCTCCCCCTTTTCTCCCATCTCTCCCCCCTCCCTGGGTCTTTCTCAGGCCTCATGGTGCCAGCCTAGCTGCAGTTGCTCACCCCGGTGAGGTGTGCACACGTCACCCGTGGCCTTTCTGAGCATGAAGCTCCGTCAGGATCCTTCCCGGACGGTCTGTGAGCTCCGAGAAGGCAGGGTGCTCCCTCCTTCAGTGCTGACCGGGGCGGGGGGTGCTCGTGTATGGAAGATCACCTCTGGTCCCTCCAGGAGCCACGGGGATCGAGGACCGGCTGCAGGACGGGGTCCCCGACACCATCGCCGCCCTGCGGGAGGCAGGGCTGCACCTCTGGGTCCTGACAGGAGACAAGCAGGAGACGGCGGTGAACATCGCGCATGCCTGCCGACTCCTGGATCAGACGGACACGGTGTACACCATTAACACCGAGAGCCAGGTGAGCCCCGGGTTCAAGTTCCGGGCCCCGCGGGAGACCCGGCCGTGGGTCTGTTGGGGCACACACAGAAGCTTAGTCCCTTCCCCAGCTCCGCCCTCACCGCCACACCACCTTGGGTTTTAGCGTGCTGAGATTACAGGTGTGCACCACCAGGCCCAGCCCCGTCTGCTGGCTTCCGACAGACCTGAGTCTAGAACCCCGCTGTCCCGCTGATGGTGCTAATCACATCCCACCATACTGACGCTCCCCGTGAAATGAATCTAAGCCTAAAACCACAATCGCAGCCCCCGTTGTGTCCGAGTTGGACCCCTAAAGGGGGAAGGGGATGCGCGAGGCTGGTAGGCTGGGATGGGATTGGGGAAGAGAGAAGCCAAATTCCACACTGGCCACCTTGCGGCCCGAATTCCTCACGGCAGTAAGACGGTGGAGAAGGGAAGCCCGTCCCAGATCTCCATGCCTCGGCTAATCTGGATATTAAACTGGAAATAGGAGGAGGTTTATATTTGGATTTTATTCCATGAAGAAACCTCTAGATACCTATTTGTGAGGGTGTGTGTGTGTGTGTGTGTGTGTGTATATATATATATATATATATATAATGAAAAATGCCCTAGGCCCCTTAGAAGACTCATTTATTCTAGATTTAACGTATGAATTAATCTCCGGGACGACTCTCGCTTTTACCATTATACTGAGGGAGGGAAAGAACATCATTTGCGGCTCACTTCGGTGTTTGATTTCTGTGCTAATACTGATGCCAGCCCGCCCTGCTTGGGAAGGAAATTCACTTTGCAAAGGTGCTCGGCTTTCCAGAGAATTCAGAAGAGGGAGCCCTCGGCAAACCTGAATGGGCATCGAGTAGGCTTACGTCGTGGTGGTGGTGGTGGTGGTGGTGGTGTTAGGGGCTGGGAGAAAAATAGAGTGAGCCGGGCACTGGTGGCTCACACCTGTCATTCTAGCTACTCAGGAGGCTGAGATCTGAGGATCTCACTGGGTTCAAAGTCAGCCTGGCCAAGAAAGTCCGTGAGACTCTTTAACTCCAAAAAAGAATCACTTGAGCTGTGTGGCTCGAGTGATCGAGCATTAGCTTTGAACAAAAGTAGTTCAGGGATAGCACCTAGGGCCTGAGTTCAAGCCCCAGGACCTGAGTTCAAGCCCCAGGACAGGTACACACACACACACACACACACACACACACACACACACACACACACACACACACACACACACACACACACACACACACACACACACACACACACAACCAAAAAAAGAAAAGAGGTACAAGCCTGCATAAAATATGGTGATTTTCTACCAGCACATTACAAACACTTACTGTTTCATGATGACCTGTATCTCGCACCAGCTCACTGAGCTATTGCTCTTTCTGTTGGCCAGCAGGATGTCCGGTTTGGGTACCAGATTAATATGGCTTTGATGCTGTTTCAGATGCTGCAGTGAAATGTAACAAACCAGAGAGAATGGACCACCACCTCCGTAAAAAACCCTTCAGCAGCCATAGTAGAAGGCTGTTAATCCATCATGATTTACTAATCCCCTGTGATATCGGCCTCTCGCTAGGAAACCTGTGAGTCCATCCTCTCCTGCGCACTGGAAGAGGTGAAGCAATTGCAGGAACCACCGCAGCCACCTGCTGAGACCTCGTCTGCCACCTCCTCTGCTGCTGCTGCTGCTGCTGCTGCTGCTGCCGCCCCGGGTGCTACGCTTCCCCAAGCCGGACTGGTCGTGGACGGGAAGACGCTGAACGTGATTTTCCAGGGGAAGCTGGAGAAGAAGTTTCTGGAGTTGACCCGGTACTGCCGGTCCGTCCTGTGCTGCCGTTCTACGCCACTGCAGAAGAGCATGATGGTGAAGCTGGTGCGGGACCGCTGCGGCGTCATGACGCTGTCTATAGGTATGGCTGGCAGGGCTGACATGTTGGGGGGCGGGGGGACCCTTGCCTTCGTAATCACAAGCTCAGGATAGCGGCCCAGACACTACAGATGAAGCACAGGCCCAGCAAAGGCGAAACCCAAGCTCTTGAAATTGGCAGGTTGGCCAAAGAAAACTCAGGAGCATGAGGGTCTCGAATGAGAGCATGCAACCAAGCTGGCCACCTTGCCAGCAGCAAGACGTACCCACAGCTGGCTCTGGGTAGACATTTCTTCCCCTCTGAGATGATCATGGGGGCCTACAGAGTCCATGTGCTTCTGAGGGTTGAAGGCTGGTAAGGAGATTCAATTTTTTTTTTTTTTTTTAAGCAGAAAACCGCAGCCAGCTGAGCACTGGGGGCTCACGCCTGTCATCCTAGCTACTCAGGAGGCTGAGATCTGAGGATCGCAGTTCAAAGCCAGCCTCGGCAGGAAAAGTCCGTGAGACGCTTATCTCTTGTGCTAGAGTAAGAGGACCAGAGCTGCTTTATTGTGTGGTCTCTGGTCAGTCACACTGGATGCTTCCCATCTGATGAACCAAAATACACAGGAAATAAACATCACGCGACACGCCCCTCCCCTTTACTTCCCTTCTCCCGGCCTCAGTTATACCTACAGTCAACTAAGGCCCAAGAAGTGATAGAGAAAACTCTACAAAGAAACCATTTGTAGGGTTTTGTGTGTGTTTGCTTTGTGCCAGTCCTGGGCTTAAATTCAGGGCCTGGGTGCTCTCCTGGAGCTTTTGCACACTACCACGAGAGCCACAGCTCCTTCCAGTATTTTTTTTTTGGGGGGGGGGCATAGTTAATTGAGATGAGAGTCTCACTTGATTTTCTTGCCCGGGCTGGCTTTGAACTGTGATCCTCAGATCTCAGCCTCCTGAGTAACTAGGATGACAGGCCTGAGCCACCGGCTCAGTGAGCCTGGCTCAGTTCATGGGTTTTAAATAACTTCGACGATAGCATGTTTTGAACCGTCACCTTCTCTTATTAGCGAATGTAGGTCATCTTTTGTTGTGCCTGATTTTTAAACGTAAATGAAATTAGCTATTTTTACTATAACAATTGATTATAACCTAGAATGCATAATTAATTGTTATCGTTATGCATGTACAGGAAAAACCTAGTCTCCAGGGCTCAACACTGCCCATATCTTGCCTGTCCGCTGGGTGTCGGGGAACACGTCCAACAGAAAAGGGTGGACTTTCTTCCTTGGCCCACCTTTCTCCAGATGGCGCCTTCTCCCTAGAGAGGCAGGGAAAGACAATTTCTCTGCTAGCATTTCAAATGAGAGCTAACTGGGCGAGAGAGCGCAGACTCAGGAGGTGAAAACAAGAAGATGGAGAGTTTAAAGCTAGCCTAGGCTAGTGAGACTCTTGCTCCAAAAACAACTGTATGGTTGTGTGTGCGTGTGCATGTGCGTGTGTGCATGTGTGTGTGTGTGTGTGACTATCTACAGCCTTACCTCAGGCCTCCAGAAACTATTTAATTGCATAAAAACTGTAACTGCTGGGTGCCAATGGCTCACACCTGTCATCCTAGCTACTCAGGAGGCTGAGATCTGAGGATCATGGTTCAAAGCCAGCTCAGGCAGGAAAGTCCTTGAGGCTCTTATCTCTAAGTAACCACCAGAAGTGGCGCTGTGGCACAAAGCGGTAGAGCGCTAGCCCTGAGCAAAAGCAGCTCAGGGACAGCGCCCAGGCCCTGAGCTCAAGCCCCAGAAAGGGTGGGGCGGAGGGGCTGTGTACCGAATGTTTCTCAATGAACAAGGTCACACTCATTTCCTTCAATGCAGAAGCAAGGCTGCTTAGCCCTCATTCAGAGTGTCTCCCACGAGTTGGTTCTCCTCACTTTCCGATTGTTGGGACGTGGCCAGCATTTCAAGTTAGACTGTGTTGAGGACGTTATATTGGCTCTAGAATCAAGAAGAGCTGAGTTCCAGTTCTCCTGTGTTCCTTCTCTAGATGGGTTGCCCTTCCCCAAGCCTCTGCTATAATTCTCCATGGGCGCTTTCGTACAGATCTTTCCAGCAGCTGCAAAGGCTTCTTTGTGAACTATTACGGACCGTCTGGTGCTATCCTAATCCTCAATTCTGTGTCCAGAAAAAAAGACACCAAATAAAACATGCTGGGTCAGGGGTAAAAAAGGAAAAGCAGGGTTTCCTGGGCATAGAAGAAGACACTTCCTACGGGCCAAATCCTACAGCTAACCTCCCGTGGGACTATTCTTCTATCCCAGGATAGAGGCTTGGACACTTGGGGACACATCAGAGCCTTGTCATTGTCACCGGGCCGTTGGATGAGTGACCTACCTCCCTCCTTTCAGGTGACGGAGCGAACGACGTCAGCATGATTCAAGCCGCGGATGTTGGCGTCGGGATATCAGGACAGGAGGGCATGCAGGTACCGCGTGCTCCGCCTGCACCGGCTTCTTCCCCGCTCTCCCTCCTTCTCTGGAGAGTTGACGCTTGCCCACAGTACCTGGAGCCACCCTTTCCCTCGTGTACATCACAGGAGGATGAGCTCTGGGTCGGGGTCCTGTCCCCCCCCTCCCAGAGCCCCCACTACAAATGACCAGAGCGAGCCGGGCGCCGGTGGCTCATGCCTCTTGTCCCTAGCTACTCAGGAGTCTGAGATCTGAAGATGGCGGTTCAAAGCCAGCCCGGACAAAAGTCCATGGGACTTTCATCTCCAATGAACCACCAGCAAACCAGAAGTGGCGCTGTGGCTCACAGCCATAGAGCGCTAGGCTTGAGCAAAAAAAGAGCTCAGAGAGAGCACCCAGGCCCTGAGTTCAAGCCCCACGACAGACAACGATAACAGTAATGATGATGATTAATTAAAAATGATACAAGTGGAGACATGGCTCCACTGGTAGGGCACTAGTCTTGAAAGAAAATGCCAAATGAGGTTGCAAGGCCCTATATTCAAGCCCTAGTACCTGTACATGCGCGTGCACACATGCACAGACACACTTCTATGTTGATCTCTTTTTTTTTGTCAGTCATGAGTCTTGAACTCTGGGCCTGGGCACTGTCCCTGAGCTCTTCAGCTCAAGGTAAGCGCTCTACCACTTGAGCCACAGCACCACTTCCAGCTTTCTGGTGGTTCATTGGAGATAAGAGTCTCACAGACTTTCCTGCCCAGTCTGGCCTTGAACTTTGATCCTCAGATCTCAGCCTCCTGAGTAGCTAGGATGACAGGTGTGAGCCACCAGCGACCTCAGATTCTTAATACCAACTGGATCTTAATATGAATTCCAGTGGGAGAAGACACACCTCAGATGGCTGTCCAGCCATCCCTGGTCCCGTTGGTCTCGGGGTGGGGGGACAGGGGGGTGGCAGAGGGGGCCCCGGTTTGGCAGTAGCTGAGTGGAAGCGTTTGTCTCTGTTCTCCCCGGCAGGCCGTCATGTCCAGCGACTTCGCCATTTCCCGCTTCAGGCACCTGAAGAAGCTGCTGCTGGTGCATGGACACTGGTGCTACTCGCGCCTGGCCCGGATGGTGGTCTACTACTTCTACAAGAACGTGGTCAGTAGCCCTGGGCCGCCTCCCGCCCTGGCACAGAGTCCCTAAAAGCTGCACGCCAAGGCAAGCGTTAGAACCGACTGGTGGCTCCCACCTATAATCCCAGCTGCTCAGGAGGCTGAGATCTGAGGATCGCGGTTCCAAGCCAGCCTGGGTAGGAAAGTCCGTGAGACTCTTATCTCTAATACATTATCCCAAAGAAGCTAGATACAGAGCTGTGACTCAAGAGGTAGAGTGCTAGCCTTGAGCAAAAGCAGCTCGGGGACAGCGCCCAGGTCCTGAGTTCAAGCCCCAAGACCCGTAATCAAAAATAGACACAAAGAAAACCTGGCAGAGCGCTTGCTTAAAATAGTTGGTGGTGAGGGCTGGGAAGGTGGCTCAGTGGTAGAGCGCTTGCCTTGCATGCATGAGGCCCTGGGTTCAATTCCTCAGTACCATATGAGCAGAAAAAGCCAGAAATGGCATTGTGGCTCAAGTGGTAGAGCGCTAGTCTTGAGCTGAAGAGCTGAGGGACAGCGCCCAGGCCCAGAGTTCAGGCCCCACGACCAACAACAACAATGAACAAAATAGCTGGTGGTGAGCTGGTGGGTATGTTAGCATAGGGTTGCAGTAAGGGAAAAACAGAGCCTCAGTTCTCCGTTCCTTACCTCAAGGATCTGTATATTTAATACACGCACACCCCCAACCAGGAATCTCCAAATACGAGATGATTCCTCTTTGCCTAAGGGAAAAAGGGAGGGTGACACTCGAGCGTGCTGGAACAGAGACATTGGCCAAGGCCACGCCACACAGAGCGCTTCTCCTCTTGCTGCCAGTGCTCTGTGACTCGGTGGGCCTGGCTGGGAAGCGGGCCTTCCTATAAGTTCCATGCATATGTACATAAACAGCCTGTCCCCCCACAAATAGTAATGTGGACCCCCATCAACCGCACAGTCATTTTTGCTCAGCCAGTCGATGCAAACAAGCCATGCCTCCCATCTGACACCCACTCTGCCCCGGAGCCCGAGTGCTTACAATCCGAAGTTGGATCGGCCATGGCCTCTGTCCTGCATGGCACTGGTGGATCCGGGAAGGACACATCTCCAGCAGCCACGCGGTCACAGCTTCCGTGATTGCTCTGTCCAGCCTGACGCCAGGCTCAAAACCTCAGCGGTGACGCTGACACGTGGCTGCCGTATCGACCACGGGCGCGTGGGCAGCGTCGACTTTGCACACTGGAAAGAAACGAATTTCAGAGCAGATGAAGATCCTGCCTGCTCTCAGATGTGAACCATGAATTCATTCCTCACTCCGTAGAGGAGGAGGAAGGAGGAAGAAGAAGAGGAGGAGGAGGGCTTTCACTCTGAGGTTCAGCCTAGGGAAGAGGGAAGACAGCCCCCCCCATTCCCTCCCCCCCCCCCCCCCAGGAAAGAAGTATTTTCTTCTGTGCAAGTGGCAGGTGCTTAGAAGAATCTCACTGGTGTGCGCTAGAAAAAGAACTTAGAACCGGGCACGGTGGCTGCTGTCTGTGAGGCTAGCTACTCTGGAGGTAGAGATTGAAAGCCTGCTCAGATGAAAGGTTCATGAGACCCAATCTCATGACAAGTGTACACTTGTCATATCCGCTCTGGGAGAGCAAAAGGAGGAATACGTTCCAGGCTGGCCCAGGCATACACTGAGACCCTACCCAAAAAACAAAAAGCAAAGCCAGGCGCCAGTGGCTCATGCCTGTAATCCTAGCTACTCAGGAGGCTGAAATCAAGATCAGGGGTCGAAGCCAGCCCAGGGAAGACAGTCAGTCCATGAGACTCTGGTCTCCAATAAACCACCCCCAAAAAAGCCCGGTGACAAAATGATGTCCTTAAAAAGACTTGAACAGGTGGCCTGGCACTCTGTGGATTGAAAAACAGGCCCCCCGTCCCTCCCTCCCTCCCTCCCTCCCTCTCTTTCTCTCTCTCCCTCTCCCTCTCCCTCTCTCCCTCTCTCTCAGTGGACTTAACTGCATTCGTTTGCTGGCCTTGCTGGGCTCCCTGTGAACCCCCAAAGCTCAGGGTGGAGGACAGAAGTAGTCTTGGGCCGGGAGGGGCCTCTCACCCACCCCGCTCCGCCCGCAGTGCTACGTCAACCTGCTCTTCTGGTACCAGTTCTTCTGCGGCTTCTCCGGCTCCACCTTGATCGATTACTGGCAGCTGATCTTCTTCAACCTCTTCTTCACCTCCCTGCCCCCCATCATCTTTGGAATCCTCGACAAAGACGTCTCCGCCGAAACACTCCTGGCGTTGCCCGAACTCTACAAGAGTGGCCAGAACTCCGAGGTACGTGGGGTTCCGGGGGTGGGGAGGGGACAGGGTAGCCCCGCATCGCCCTGGCCTCCGAACCTCCCTGGAGGCCGGGAAACCCTGCCTTGTAGCCACTGAGCAGCTGCTTCAGCGCCCGTGCGGCTCTGAATAACTCTTCCCATGTCTGGTTCTCAGCTCAAGGCAGTCAGACAAGGCCCTGAGTACAGTTTCTCTTAATACCTGCTTGATACTAGACAGACAGACAGACAGACAGATATCAAGTTGTCACGGCCTTAGTTGAACGGAGAAAGGGCATGCAAGTACAGCAATTACACACTTGAGGCCCAGTTACTAGTCTGTTTTCTGTGTTTTTTTGGTCGGTCATGGGGCTTGAACTCAGGGCCTGGGTGCCGTCCCTGAGCTTTTTGGCTCAAAGTTATTGCTTTATCACTTTGAGCTACAACTCTATGTACAGGGTTTTATGTACATTTTTTTAGTGTAAAAATGCTGTATAGAGGGGTCACAGTTACATGAGCAAGGTAATGAGTACATTTCCTATTGGGCATGGTTGCCTCCTCCCTTGTTTTCCCCCTACCACCGCTTCCCTCCCACCTCCACAACTACCCCACCAGCACGGACAGTTTTCTGGTGGTTCATTGGCGATAAGAGTCTCACGGACTTTCCTGCCCAGGCTGGCTTTCAACGTTGATCCTCAGATCTCAGCCTCCTGAGTAGCCAGGATGACCGGTGTGAGCCACCGGTGCCCGGCTTGTCTTCTGTTTCTATGAATACCTGGAGCTGGGTAAGAGAGAGAGAAAGACATTTCATTTGGCTCACATCTGTGGGGGCTGATATTCCGAGATCAGGGCAGCCCCGTGTGTTCAGAGTTGGGGAGGGGGTCCCGCGGCTTCACCCCTGCCGGACCTGCTCATGGAGGGAGGAAGTGAACGGCCAGAGAGATTCAGCTTGCTCTTGTGGGAACTGTAAAAGCCATCAGGTGAATTTCTAGAACTCTCCCAGGCAACCTGGAGGGCATCGACAGTTGCTCCCGCTAGCCAGAGGAGAGGGGGCCGCGGCTCTTTGGAGGGAAGTGTCCGAGGGCTCGGCCCCTTGACAGCCAGAACAAGAGAGGCACAGGCCAGACCTGGGAGGGCCCAGCATTAATCCAGGCCGAAGGCCACAGGCAGGAGCAGAAAGCGACCACACAGCGGCCGGCCGTTCACCCTAGGTAGATCATCATTTCACCCTGGCAAGGGCTGCAGGGGGCACAGCAAGGCGGAAAGGCAGGCCTGATGGAAGAAGGGGTCTAAAGTGGCTGAGTTCTCCTCCTGGAAACCCACGGGCCCGGCCTTGGTCAGCCTCTCCCTTCCAGACGCCGAGCTAACTGTAGAATCTCGGCCTGTACCCAGTTTGCACTAGTCTTAGCTACAGAGCTGATGGATGAGCCGTCATCCATGACAGAACTTTCTGGATACAAGGAACAATGGCATCTAAGTCCTCTTCTTGAATCTCCGGCAAGGAAAGAAAGAGATTTCTTTTTAATCTACATGTTTTTTTTATGCCAGTACAAGGACTTGTACCCAGGGCTTAGGCACTGTCCCTAAGCTTTTTAGCTCAAGGCTGATGCTCTACCCCTTGAAGAATTTCATAGGTTTTCCTACCCAGACTGTCTTTGAACTAGGATCCTCAGCTCTCCGTCTACTGAGTAGCTAGGATGACAGTTGTGACCCACCTGCTCTTTTTATCCACAATTGTGTGCAAAAAAACAAACAAACAAACAAAGCAAGCCAGGCACCAGTGGCTCACGCCTATAATCCTAGCTACTCAGCAGGCTGAGATCTGAGGATCACAGTTCAAAGCCAGCCCAGGCAGGGAAGTCTGTGAAACTCTTATTTCCCATTAACCACCAGAAAACCGAAAATGGTGCTGTGGTTCAAGTGAGGGAGCACTTGCCTTGAGCTGAAGAGCTGAGGGACAGTGCCCAAGCCCTGAGTTCAAGCCCCACAACCGACAACAACAACAAGAAGCCATTCTTAGAACAGTTCAGTCATTTTTCTCAAGGTCACACAATGCGGGGCAGGCCTGGGACTTGACCACCACCTACACCTACACACCTACACACACACCTACACACCTGCACACACACACACACACACTTCCTCACTCCACCCTCTGTCTGAGCTGACGGGCATTGCAAATGACCCATCCAGCACCCACCCACACCTGGGCATGTGCTTCCTCGCAGTGCTACAACCTAGCGACCTTCTGGATCTCCATGGTGGATGCATTCTACCAGAGCCTCGCCTGCTTCTTCATCCCTTACCTGGTAAGTCCCAGGTCCCAGCTGGCTTTGGTGACGTGAAACTCCAGACCAGCCTACCCACAGCACCTGAGGAACCAAAACACCTTCCCCCACGTATTTTCCTCTCTGGCGGCTCTTCCAAAAACCAAAGGCCGTCACTGTCATGAAGCCGATCGTTTTTCTCTTCCTAGCAAAAAAAAAAAAACCAAAGTGGGCCCGTAGGCGGGCAGATTTACCCGTGTTGTCTAATTTACCTCAGACTCCACTATTCCTCTCTGTCTCCCATTGGGTTTCTTTAAGGCATTTACTGCTTGGTTGCTGGTGGAATGAGAATTAAGAACCCTAGATTTGCGCATGGATTTGGGCTCCAGGGGTCAAAGCTACAGGTGTTCCAGCAGTTAAGTTTTTGCTACCAAGGGAATACTAGTTATCTTAAACAGCAGTTATGGAGAGCAGAGGCTACCCAGCTCATCTGCCTTGAATCCCCAGTTGAAACAGGATTTACAAGGCATAGGATTCCTCTGGTCTTCCCAGACAGGACATGGGGACTTTCAGCCACAGAGCTTGCTTACGGCGCTGCTGAGCTCCTGTCGTTTTGCAGCTAGCAACATGGTGGGAGAGACAGACATCATCTGCTTTGTTCAGATTTCCTGGCTGGCAGCACCCTCCCTGGCCAGTACACACACACACACACACACACACACACACGCACACGCACACGCACATACGTCTGCTGCTTCCTGCTTTGTCTTTTGCAGGGACACACACTCAGCACCCCCACACAAGGCCATTTGAGGGTTTCTCCAAAGCCACCATGTCCAACCCCAGTTCTGACTACCTGCAGCGCATTCCCTCATGCTAGCTCTGTGTGTGTTCAGCTGCTAACCTCTCGTCTGTGTTCTCCGGCTTTGTCTTTGCTCCTACTAGAGCTTCAGCTTCCTCATCCGCACCGCTGCCCTTGAAGAATCCTCGGCTATTAGCTGGTGACTGGCAGAGGCTCGGGAAATCTTCTTTCCTTTTTTTCCTTTTTTGGTGGTACCGAGTACTTGCTGGGCAGGCACTCTACCTCTTGAGCTATTCTACCAGCCCTTGTTGGATCGTGCTTGATGGCCTGGACCGCGTTCCTCCCATTTGTATTTAACTCATCGGGGACCACAGATGTGCGCTACAGCACCCAGCTAGTAACCCATGATATTCATGAATGTTCATGTCCAGGATTGACAGGTTGGAGCTACCTCACCTGGTTTTCAATGTCCCTGGTTTGTTTGGTGTTTTGTTTTTTTTTTTTTGGGGGGGGGATGGTACTTGGTGCTTGGCCTGTACCCGTAAGTCAGTCATGCGTCTGGTACCTTTTTCATTCCGTCTTTCTACAGCGTGGTTTTACCACCTTCATCATGGCTTCCTCCCGGCCATTTCTTCCTCTCCACTCATCTTGGTTGTTCCCCAGGGGGTGCACGTAGCCCCTTCTCACCCCGTCCCCCCTCCCTCCGTGACCCCTGCCCTTCCCAAAGGCTGCACCCGACTCCTGTGGCACAAGGGGTGACGCCCACTGGCTCCTCCTTTTCAGACCTACCGAGACTCTGACATCGACGTCTTCACCTTCGGGACTCCGGTCAACACCATCTCGCTCACCACAATCCTCCTACACCAGGCCATGGAGATGAGGACATGGGTAAGGGTAGCGGAGCCCCTCTGTGAACCAGGATGGACTAGAACGAACGTCCTGCTGGATGGCTGTGGAACCCACAGTCGCCCCCCTGACCGGTCATTCCTGTATCAATAGGAGTGTTGTGGTCATTCCAGCATAAATAGGGGGATTGTGTTCCAGGCCGGCCAGGCAGAAAAAAAAAAAAAAAAGAAAGCAAAGACCCTAATCTCTTAGAGAACCAGAGCAAAAAGGCTAGAGATAAGACTCAAGTAGTAGAGGTAGAAACTCTCTAGTTACTCCATTGTTCTCTCTTAACCTTTCAAAATGCCACACCAAGCGCTATCAGGCCTCAATTATGGACTATGTGGGTTTTGACACTGAAGATTCTCCAGCTTTGGCCACTTAAAGCACATAACCATCTGTTTCTCAAAGCATGTAACCACCTGCTGCAGAAGGGTACTGAAGCTGGGCGCTGGTGGCTCACACCTGTAATCCTAGCTTCTAAGGAGGTTGGGATCTAAAGATCAACAAAGCCAGCCCAGGCAGGAAAGTCCGTGACACTCTTTTATTTCTTTTTGTCCACCATGGAGCTTGAAGTCAGGGCCCGGGCACTGCCCTGAGCTCTTTTGTTCAAGGCTAGAGCTCTACCACTTTGAGTCACAGCACCACTTCTGGTTTTCTAGTGGTTCGTTGGAGATAAGAGTCTCGTGGACTTTTCTGCCTGGGCTGGCTTTGAACTGTGATCCTCACATCTCAGCCTCCTGAGTAGCTAGGATGACAGGCGTGAGCCATTGGCACCCAGCACCGTGAGACTCTTATCTCCAATAAACTACTCAGAAAAAAAAAAAAACCAGAAGTGGTGTTGTGGCTCAAGTGGTAGAGCTCTAGCCTTGAGCCAAAGAAGCTTAGGGATAACACTCAGGCCTGTGTTCAAGCCCCAAGACAGGCACCAAAAAAAAAAAAGTGGGGGGTGGGGAGGTGATCTATCTGTATTCCTAGGCCAAACAGCCACTCTGGACCAGGTACCCCAAGAATTACGGATGATTTCTGATACTCTCTAGAAAGAAAAGAACCTACTTCCTTTAGAGGTGCAGCTGACCTGCTCTCCCTGGGTAGAGGGGGCGGGGGAGGGGAAGAATGAATGTGTACATACATGTGTGTATGTGTGCGTGTTTCTTGGGTTTGAACTCAAGGCCTTGCAAACTACTGGGCAGGCACTTTCCTGCTGAGCCACGCTTCCCGCCTTGGCACACAGAATTCCAATCGCTGATTCAGTAGCTGTCTCCGAGCTGGATTGTGGACTAGATTGTCACCGTCCAGCTCACTAGTAGCCACGTGGATGTTTGCTTTACAGCGACCCCCACTAAATGGCTCGCCCGCCTGGAGTCTCTGTGTGTGTGTGTGGTCATCTCCAAGAGGTGTAAAGTTATCCCAGTAGCCATGTGACCCTAAGTTGGGGGTAAGTTAGCCCCAAACTGTGACTTCGCTGCCCAGATCCCAACCTTCCACTGTTATCTTCTCCTGGCAGACCGCCATCCACTGGCTTGTCCTCGTGGGCAGCTTCCTGATGTACTTCGTCGTGTCCCTCGTGTACAACGCCACCTGCGTCACCTGCAACAGCCCCACCAACCCGTACTGGGTGATGGAAAGGCAGCTCTCGGACCCCACGTTCTACCTCGTCTGCCTCCTCACGCCAGCCGTGGCTCTTCTCCCGAGGTGAGTCCTGGAGCCCGCTCCTCCCCCCCAGACCCCCGCAGCTCCCTGAACCTGTGATCCTTATGAACCGGGAGTCAGGCTAGTCCTAGGGTTTGAACTCAGGCCTTCATGCTCACAAGGCAGGCGCTCTACTGCTTGAGCCATGCTTCCTGCCCCTTTCTGCTCTTTTTTATTTTTTTTAATAAGGTGGCTCACGCCTGTCATCCTAGCTCCTCAGGAGGCTGAGATCTGAAGATCATGGTTCAAAGCCAGCCTGGGCAGGAAAGTCCAGGAGACTCTTACCTCCAATGAACCACCAGAAAACCGGAAGGGTGCTGTGGTTCAAAGTGGTAAAGCCACTTGCCTTGAGCAAAAGAGCTCAGCAACAGTGCTCAGGCCCAAGTTCAAGCCCCACGACCAACAGAAAATAAATAAGGCCTTTTTACCTGGGTCAGGCTGGCCTAGGAGTCTCCTAGTTGGTACTTCCTGCTCTATCTAGGTGGGGTACAGGAATGTGTCATTATGCCCAGCTTTTCTGTTGAGATGGGGAGGAGGTTCACCTTCGCGTTTCTACTCAGGATGGCCTTGAACAATGAGTCTCTCTCATCTCCCCGTCTCGAGCTTGAGCCGCTGGCACCTCCTGTGAGTGGGTTTTGGATGGGACCCCCGAGTCTATTTCTTTTTTTTTTGCAGGGACAGAAGGAAATAATGGACAGGGGGTGGGACAAATAACATGGACTCGGGTCCCTGGTGAGCCACCGGGCGACTCTGTCACCGAGTCTCCTGCCTCAGCAGGGACATCTGTGAACTGGGAGCCACGAGGCCCTGCCTCTCCCATGCAGAAGAGGCAAGCTGACGCACAGACGATGGAAGGAAGCACTTCTGCCCCCGCTCCCGGGAAGGACCAAGGGTCCAGCCTCTCCCCCGAAATGTAACATCTTACACGAAACGGCCTACTTTTCAATGCCCAACACAGTCATTGCAGACGCCTCCCTATGCATCAGATCATTTGGCTTCCTTAGCCAAACACATTCCTCCTGTCCACCACTCAGCCACAAGTTTCATGGCACTCACCTTGCTCTACGCCTGCACGTGGCTCTTCCCATCAGCCGAGAGTCAGGGGGAACTATGGGTTCTGGTCCCTTTTATTCATGGGGACAGCTGAAGTCCCAGGAGAGAGAGTAAGGCCTGGTGTCTTCATCTGTATCCAGGGAACAACAGAAACAGAGATATTTGTTGTCCAGTGTACTGCCACACAGGGAGAGACACTGTGAGCCAGGCATCACTAGCTGATCCCAGCATAGGGCAAACACCAAAGAGGCTTCTTACATCGATTAAGGTGACTGCGTCCTTCCTAAGCTTAAGAGACCACTCACTCACTGCATATGCTATCCATCATTGATCAAAACATCACCATGTGGCCAGCCATATGGAGACTGCAGGACTGTGTTATGAGTATCCAAGACAGTTGGCTAGTGGAGTTTGTTGTGTTATTCCTCCTCACTAGAGGTACTGGCTTAGATCTGAGAATCGTCTAGTCACAAGGGCAGTAAAGAAGGTCTTGGAGCCGGGCCCTGGTGGCTCACACCTATAATCCTAGCTACTCAGGAGGCTGAGAGCTGAGGATCATGGTTCGAAGCCAGCCCAGGCAGGAAAGTCCATGACACTCTTATCTCCAATGAGCCACCGGAAAACCAGAAGTAGCGCTGTGGCTCAAAGTGGTTGAGTGCTCGCAGGCCCTGAGTTCAAGCCCCACGACTAACAAAATAAGGATGATGATCCTGGATCTTTCTTGCACTGTTTGTGTCTCGTGTGCCTTTCAGTGCTGAGATTCCAGAAGTCCAGGAGACACCAGAAAACATCTTTTGTTTATGTTTTATTTCCTACCAGGTTCTTTATCCTGTCTCTGCACGGTACTTTGGGGAAGTCCTTGATCTCAAGAGCTCAGAAAATTGACCAGCTGCCCACCAACGAAAGGAACCTGGCGATCCAGAACTGGCAAAGCAAACGGAGGCCTTCTCCGACCCCGGCGGGGAATCAGCCCACCCCTGGTCCAGAGCCACCCGTCCCCGAACAGTACTTAAGAACCAGTACCCCGAAGAGCGGCAGACCTCCCGGGCGGGGGCAGCGGTACAGCAGGGATGACAGCTGCCCGGGGGACGGCTTGGGCACACTCTGCTCCGGGGAGCACCTCCTGGGGACAGACAGGACCGTGGCCCCCAGAGGTTACTGTAGGGAGCGGAGCGGTGGGAGCCGGCACTCCCGCCGGGGCAGCCACCGCCGGTCCCAGAGCTCGCTGACCATCTGAGACACGGACGCGATCCCAGAGCTCGCTGACCATCTGAGACACGGACGCGAAGAGCTCGCTGACCATCTGAGACACGGACACGATCTGTACAAACCCCGAGGGGACCCTCACCGGCCACGGAACCCAGCACCTCTTCCTCTTCCGAGAGGAAATGCTCCAGGCTGCTTCCTTTCCCCCCCCCACCAGACTCCACTTCCTGCCCCCCACCCCCCAATAAAGACAAGAAAACCAGTGAACCTCTCATGTGCTGCTGCTGCACACAATGGCCTCAGGATGTGGGCTTTTTCCAGAGGAGGCCAGGCTGCAGTTGCCTGCAGTTCTCACAGGTTGTTCTTTTTAAGCCAAACCCATTCTCCTGGCAATCGAGCTAGAAGTTTCCAAGACTCCCAAGAAGTGGATCGATGCACAGCACCCTGACAGGATCGAGAAATGACTGGGCTGGTCGAACCCATCACCTCGCCCCTCTGTACCAAGAGATCGACTTGCAGAAGAGGCTTGAATATTCCTGACCTTCATTGCAAAGGTCTCCCAAGGATGGCTCTCTGCAGAGAGCCGGGCTGCCTTCTCGTCTCTAAACCAAGAAAGAACACAGTGAAACGTGAAAACGCTTCGTTTGAACTCACTCCCACAGACAGTTCGAAGGGATGTGGGGTCACAACTAGTGTAAAAGCGGGAAGAGTAGACACACTCGGGGGGAGCAGGGGCCCCAAAGACCCTGTTCCAACCGGTGGACTGTCACCCCATTCACGAGTCTTCAAGTGGACATAAACCACACTCTTGTTAAAGCTATTTATCCTATTTATTTAGAACAAGAGAAGTGAGAGATCAGAAGATCTCGTCTGCACTCAGGATACTGACCGAGCAACTCTGAGCCCAAATAATAACCACATTAAGACAATGTCACCTCTATCTCGTTCACTTTAACCCCAGAATAGCACCACAAGGATGGCGCAGGCCATGCGTCAGCTAAATTAAGGAATCCGAGGATGTCTTATTTCCTAGGGAAAAGGAAGATTATGTACACTGCATATTCCTGGGGCGCTAAATGCCAAAAAAAAAAAAAAAAAGTCAATATAGTACTCAAATAAAACAATGGATGACAGACTTGTTTGTCATTGTCAAAAGAAACTACCTGCTGGGCACCAGTGGCTGACATCTGTGATCCTAGCTACTCAGGAGGCTGAGATCTAGGACCATGGTTCAAAGTCAGCCCAGGCAGGAAAGTCTACGAGAGTCTTATCTCCAATGAACCACCAGAAAACCAGAAGAAGAGCTGTGTCTCAAAGTGATAGAGTACGGCTCTTGAGCAAAGAAGCTCAGGGACAGTGCCCAGGCCCTGAGTTCAAGCCCCACCGCTGACAGAGGAAAAAAGAAATCAGCTCTCCTGTGGGTAATGATAGCCTAGAACAGTCCGGAAATGCCACTGTGCTCCCCGTCCTGATACTAGTGCCTTGGATGAGGTGGAAAAGCTCAGGGATGGGATAGGAGCGTGACAACTCTGTACCTGTCACAGCCACCACCGTGTGCGAGCCTACACACGCTCAACGAAATCAAGTTGACAGGTGGCAGACTAACCTGGCCCTGTGGCTGCCCTGGGCATCCTGGACTGGAGAAAACACTCGGAGCATCTCCCAACGCCACCACACCGCACCTCCTCGGCCATTTCTGTCATGCAATGCCCGCGCTGGACAGCAGGCCGGCCCTCCACGGTACCCCACATGGAGATTCCAGGGGGGACAGGGGAGAAGAACAGATTCACATACCAGGAGACCTAATCGTGATTGATTTTTTCCAAACAAGGCAATCTGTCAAAATGTGGACCTCAGGGCCTCTTCTTTCCCCCTGGGATCCCTATTGCTCATAACCAGGCAGAAAATTCTAGAACACGACAGAGCAGTGGACTCAAGAGACCCACATGTGACTCTTAGCTCTGGCCCAAGAGTCTTGGATCTTTGAGATCCAAGTACTCGAGGCAGGGTGCCACACTGGCCAAAGCTGGAAGAACTGCCCTACCTCCAAGTTTGGCACAAGGACTGAGTTTGAATCCCATGAGCACCATCTGTGATAACCGTTAACACCACGGGACTTTTACCTAGGCGCGAAGAGGGAAAGAGGTCATGGGGACATGGAGAAAAATACTTGATGGCTTTCCCAATATGCCAACACTCCAGCACTGCTCATTGTGTCAAGGGACCGCCATCTTGGTTTCCCCAACACGTTCCCAGTTTACAGAGTTCCACAGCCTGAAAACCAGGTCAAAATGGACACAAGGTCTCCCCTACTCTTTCCAACTGTGACCCATGTGGGGGGGAGATGGGAAGCCCCCCCACAATGCTAATGAGGGCACTCTGCATCTTTATATATGTGTGGTCTGTATGGCCGATTGCCTGGAAATACAGCACCTTTTTTTTTTAAGGAAAACGTAATAAATGTGAAGTTACCTGAAAGTCCTATTATTCTTTCTTTACCTCATCACAGGTCCTGAGTTCTCCCCTCCGTCCATCTTCCCCTCCATTCAGCCTCTTTTCATTCTCTTAGCTATTTATCCTCCCTGTGACCTTTGATCGATTTCCTACTAGATACCCAGCAATATAATAGAGGTCAGGAGAAAGTCAGCCCTGGACAGACAGAGTACCAAGAAGAGCATGATGCTCTTGAGCTGTGGCTCAAGTGGTAGAGCCCTCGCCTTGAGCTGAAGCGCTCAGGGACAGCGCCCAAGCCCATGGTTCAAGCCCCACTACCAAAAAGTAAAGCCTTGGCAGAAGTTCGGGTCATCTCTGGTACTCACAATTACCCCCAAGAGCCTGCCCCCTAGTGGCCAAGGGACAGGGGTTTGGAGGGATCTTACCAATCAAGAGTACGAAAGACATGGAAACCAGCAGCCAGGAATTCAGAGACACTGTCTTCGTGAATCGCCTGATTAAAAGCACACCCATCACCGTGTTCTCTGCTCTGAACCTTCTCTCTCATAAGCTGCAACATGTAGTAAAAAAAAAATTGTGCCATTCCCAGGACTTGAACTCAGGGCCTGCACACCACCCCTGAGCTTCTTTTGCTCAGGGCTAGCACTCTACCACTTGAGCCACAGCGCGGCTTGGGGTTTTCTCGGTGGTTCGTTGGGGATGAACAGTCTCACAGACGTTCCGGCCTGGGCTGACTTGGAACCACAATCCTCACATGGATTCCTGCGTAGCTGGGATGACGGGCGTGAGCCACCTCTGCTTCCAGGTCATATTTGTTTTAGGTAGAGATGAGCAGATCGCTGCCCCTGGCCTTGTCTGCTGCAGCACCTGCTGCGTCGCGCAGGGAAAGCTTGAAGATGCTCATTCTGGGGACATGACTCCGTGGGCGTGAAATCCGTTTGCGAATATTCCCTGCAAGCGTGGGCACTGTCGTGAAAGACGCCCGTGGCTGTGTGAAGGCGGCCCCGACATGGCTGAGCGGGGTGGACGAGCAGGCCAGCCCCGAGGCCTCTGGCCCCCAGGAGACACAGGGCCACCTCAAGAGGGAGAGAATGAGCCCGGGAGGAGGCGTGGGGCGCATGCGTGCGGCGGGGAATGTGAGCAAGACCCCGGCCTGCGTCTTAGCCCTGAGCACCGTGACCATGAGCACCCGTGGCTCCGTGGTCAAGCGTGCATGGCGTGTCCTGGCTTTCCCAAGCAGCTTCTTCTAACGTGAAGGAGCCTTCATTTTTTTATTTTTTTTGGTAACATCATCAACTCGGTACCCAGATGCCAGGCCTCAGCCTCCTTCCTTCCAGAGACCTGCCCAGAGCAGCCCTGGCCTTCCGTTATAGTGCCTGTCCCAGAGCTGGCTTACAGCCTCCCCCCCTCCCCTCCCTCCTCCCCCCTCCCCCCTCCCACGGCCCACCCACCACTGCCTGGCTCAAGGCGGAGGACATCACTCGGGCTGTGGTCTTCATGAACATCCTGGGAAGTGGGACCCAGCACGGTAGCGCATCTGCTTCAAAATGGATGTAAGATGCTTCATCCCAAAGAAAGGAGCAGGAGCAGGAAGAGGAAGAAGAGGAAGAGGAAGAATAGGGGGAGGAGGAGGCAGAGCAATAGGAGGAGGAGGAGGAATAGAAGGAGGAGGAAGAGAAGGAGGAGGAAGAGGGGGAGGAGGAGGAGGAGATAGAAGGAGGAGGAGGAGGAAGAATAGGGGGAGGAGGAAATAGAGGAAAGGAGGAGGCAAGGAGGAGGAGGAAGAGAAGAGGAGGAGGAGGAGCAATTGGAGGAGGAGGAATAGGAAGGAGGAGGAAGAGGAGGAGAAAGAATAGGAGGAGGCAGAGGAGGAGGAGGGGGAGGAAGAGGAAGGAGAAGAAAGAAGATGACTAGGAGTTCTCCATAGTAAGTGATAGGCCTCAGAGAAGAGATGGAGACCTCCAGCCAGAAGACCCCAGAGGCCAGGTATGGTAGTGCATGCCTGTAATCCCAGCACTCAGCAGGCTGAGGCAGGAGGAGGGAGAGTTCCAGGCCAGCTGGGGCTCTGCAGTGAGATCCCCATGGGGCTGACAGCCCACGCGGCGGCGGCGGCCCCGCGCTAGCCAGCCACGCAGGACGGCCTTCCCGCCCCACTCCCTGCAAACCACCATCAAGTGATCCTGGGCAAACTGAGGCTGGGCTCCTTTCCCAAAGCCCACGGCCAGATACTCGGGTAAAGATAAAGCTCAAGATGCACGGCGGCCGAGGATGGAACATGGAAACGCCAGGCTTGCGGAGGGGCCGGGGAATCAACACAGCGGCACCGAGAATCCAGAGACAGTGTCCACCCCCGCCATCGCTGCACCCATCCGTCCGTCCTCCCCGCCCTCCCTCCCTCCCTCCCTTCCCCTCTACTCCCTCCCTCCCTTCCCTTCCTCCCTCTTTTCTTTCCTTCTTTGTCTCTCTCTCTCTTCCTGCTTTGTCCTTCCTTCCTCTTTTCTTCCTCCCCTTCCTTCCTTCCTCCCTCCTTCCCCCCCTTCCCTCCTCCTCTCACCTGTGGGAGCCGCACCCCGCTCTTTGGAAGGCTGGTGAAGGGCAGCGGCTGCCACAATGACACGGACGCTATCTATGTCCCCAGGGCCCGGGATCTCCCTCACTGACCTTGGCTGACCTTGCCAGGCCCAGAGCCTGTGATCACCGGCCAGCCATTCCGGACCCAGTACTGTACCACCCCTGCCCCTGCGTTCCAAGCCACCCCGGGAAGCCCCCCCCCCGAGCTGAACCCCCAGAGCTCTTGGGCATCACTGGGCGCCGCAGAGCCCGGCTGCTGCGCCTTGGCTTTGAAGCTCTGCGCCTGGGAGGTCGGGGCTGATGCGGCCGCAGCCTTGGCCTTCCGCTCGCTCAGGGCGATGACCTCCATCCCGACACCACGGGGCAGAGGCTGGGGGACCTCCACCCCCTTCCCCAGCCCAGGGGACCCTGTCCGGCCCCCTCTCCTCTTCTCCCCGGAGTCAAAGACTAGAGGGTCACCCGGAGTCAGTGCCACGAAAAGCAGTCATCATCCCTTGGGCCTGTTCTGGGCTCTCGCTTCTCTTTTCCTCTCCCTTCCCTCCCTCCCCCTTCCCCTCCCTTTCCCTCCTCCCCCCCAAAATCTCCCTGCTTCCTGTCCTCCCCCACTCCCCCCCCATTCAGCCTGCCCAGTGAGGCCTAAGAGGCTGGAGAGCCTGTCTCTCCTTTGCTCCTTCATCTACCTTTAGACCCCTGGCTCTGCCATAATGGATGGCTTCCATCCCCAGTGGTGCTCGTCTGGGGCACAGACCGAAGCGGGTTGTCCGTGTGGGGGGGCAGAGATGCCCGGTGGCTCACGCCTGTCATCCTAGCCACTCGGGAGGCTGAGATCTGAGGATCGCGGTTCAAAGCCAGCCCGAGCAGGAAAGTCATGAGACCCTGATCTCCAATAAATCACCAGAAAACCAGAAGTGGCGCTGTGGCTCAAGCGGGAGAGCGCTCGCCTTGAGCTGAAGAGCTGAGGGACAGCGCCCAGGCCCAGAGTTCAAGACCCATGACTGGCAAACCCCTAGGTTTGGGGCTCACCCACATCCCATCGAAATACCCACTGGGGAAAGAAAAAGAAATCCATTTGTAGTATCCCCACCTCCCAGATAAGCTCACGGAGGCTTCAAGAATGAGCGCGATTCCAATTCCCAGCCCACTCCACCAGCAGCCAGGACAGCAGCTCTTTGGGAAGCAGCAGGATTGTGTTTCCAGAATATTCCTGTATCATGAAGACCTAGGGACCTGGGCCCAGCCCTATGGAGGGAGGGCTCTGGCAGACAGCACAAAGGACAAACAAGTTCACTCACCTCTGCCCTAGCTGGGGCTTGTCCGGCCTCAGTCACCCACCCTGACTTCCTCTTCTTGAATTAGAATCTCCCCTTAAAACCCGGGCAGCCACGGAGGTGCCCGCCAGGGGGCGCACTTCAGGACATTAGCACAGGATACACGGCTAAACATGGCTCAGCTAGGCCTGGGCATGGCACCAAAACATACAGCCTGGGGGGGGGGGGGCTGCTCATGCCAAGTGGGGGGGGAGGGAGGGGGAGGGGGCTCACCAAGTGATCTGTTGGGCAATTCGATGTGTAGGAAATGGTTTAAGTAGAAGATCGTTTAAAACGGAGCCCAGGCTTGAGCAATACAGAAATCGGCTCTCACCTGTCGTCCGGGCCAGCTTGTCCCGAGGCCACTAATCCACCATGGGGACCCGTCACGGGGAGCCACACGCCAAGGCACACGTGTTGGCATGGTTGGGGGGCAGGAGGGGGGCGCTCTGGATATGTTGAGGCACAAGCATTGTATTCCTGGAACGTGAGAAATAATTAGCGGGGCTCAGACCTTCTGGAACCTTCCACTGTGCCTCCCTGCGACTTTCCGAATTCCCCCAAGCGACTCATTAAAACCTGCCCGGAAGTGAAGACAGCTGGTGATGTCACCCACATGAAGAAGAACTCAACAGCACCAGGGAGAAGAGCAGAGAGCGCTCTCTGTACCCCGGGGGAAGGCGGGGGGCTGTGGAAAGCCACCCCCAGGCTCCAGGGCCCACTCTGGGATTCCACACGCCCTAGCATCCTGTCCCCGCTTGCCTGGCCCTCCCTCCCTCCCCGCCCCACGGGCAGCCGCGCCCCGCACGGGCCCACAGGGCCTGGTCCTAACATGTAACCCTCATGTCCACCCGCCGCGCATGCATCTGCCCTTGCCGCCTTTTGGTTTTGTGTTCTCAATTCAATTCAGAACCAAGTCACCTTGGCCCTTGCACCTGGCTTCCCGCCCTGGAGATGGTGATCGTGAGGATTGCACGGTGCGGCTTTATTCGTATTTGTGGAACAAAGGCCAAGGGGCCCCCGAGAGACCTGGGGTCAGCAGTGTCTCCGGTTTCCAAGCTGAAAGGAACGAGCCATCCAACAGCAGTGCTGAGCAGCCAGGAGACGCAGCCGGGGGGAGAGGATGGCGGGCTGCTACTCACCCCCTCTGCAAAGCCAGGGTGAACAGAGATGGTGGTTTCCAGACGTTTAAACTTTCATCCAAACCCCAGGGAACCAGGCACTGGCGTGACTCATGGCTGAGATCTCAAGATGGAGGTTCAAAGCCGGCTGGGGCAGAAAAGGCCATGAGACTCTTACTCTTGAATGAACCAGCAAAAAGCCAGAAGTGGAGCTGTGGCTCAACTGCTAGAGCGCTAGGGGACATGTCCAGGCTTTGAGTTCAAGCCCCAAGACTGGCTGATGCCCACGCGCACACACGCAAGAACAAGCCAGGTATAGTGATATACCTATAACCCCAGCTCCGTGGCCAGTGTAAAGAGAACAATTACAGTCTGAGAGCATCACGCCACCTTATCTGTTCAAAAATGAATAAAGCAAAAAGAGCTGGGGGTGTAGCTCAAGATCCAGCCTAGCAAGCTCAGGGCCGAGTTCAAATCCAGTACTGCAAGAAAGCTGTTTCCAGATACACCAGGAAAACAGACTGCCCAGGGAATGACACCTGTCGTACTACACACACACACACACACACACACACACACACACACACACACACACACACACACACACACACACCTGCCAATAGCAACTTCAGCAGCATAGCTCTTCCAGTAATTCTGCATAGCGCTTGACCCCCAGGGCTGCCCTTATTTTCCTTCCTCTTTCCGCAGAGTCTTAGTTTCTGATTGCACATAATGAGAAATGATTTTTTTTTAATCGTTTCCACGCTGCCCATAAACTCCAGGCTCTTCCCACCCCCCGAAATCCATCCATATCCGGGAGCTGACAAAGAAGCAGGGTAGACTACGGCGTGTTCTGATCTCCGGGCGGTTCTGGGATTTTGGTTTTTTGTTTTTTCTGTTGCGGGGCTTGAACTCTGGGCCTGGCGCTGTCCCTGAGCTCTTCAGCTCCTGGCGAGCGCTCTGACACTTGAGCCACAGCGCCATTCCCTGTTTTCTAGTGATTTATTGGAGATAAGACTCTCACAGACTTTCCTGCCCGGGCTGGCTTTGAACCACGATCCTCAGATCTCAGCCTCCCGAGTAGCTGGGATGACAGGCGTGAGCCACGGGTGCCCGGCTGGTTCTGGATTTTTTGTGAGCTGATCTATGACCCTGGCGTGGGGCCTTCCTCGCGCATTCTGCCCGGCATCACGGACGGGGTGTGAAATTGATTCTGAACATGGGGGAAGGGAGGGTTTATCATCCCCTCCCCTGACCACCACCCCTGCCCCTGCCCAAGCCCACTGCAGGGCCCACCCCCATTTCCAGAAAGACAATACTGAGTGACTATCCACGCACTGAAGAGGGTCTCACAGCTGACATCCACAAAGGCCCGCCTCTCGTTCACCCAATCAGCGAACGGCACGCAGGGCTGCTCCGACACTGGGCAGAGACACGAGGTCCTCACGTGGCCCTTGGGGGAGCCGGTGTCCTGCCCTGCAAAAACTCACCCTCACCATGGGGCAAACACACCAGCAGCCCAGAGCCCCCCCTCTCTCGGACCACAACCAGCCTATCAGCACCTGCCTTTACAACTCGCACACTGAGGATCTAGGACCTAGACCGTGTCACCAGGAGACCCTCCAAAAGTCACCACAGGGGTCCAGACAGCAGCTTTGTCTAACTAGACGTGGGGAGACACCTCGAAGGACCCCGTCTTCTGCCACCTACAAGTCCTCAAGACTCCAAAGAAGCCAGCGAAAAGCCAGGCTGGAGGCACAACTCAGGTGGTAGAGCACCAGGCAAGCTGAGCAAGAGTAAGTGATCCCAAGTTCAAACTTGCTACTGGCATGCGTGCATGTGCGCACACACACAGGAGGAAAGTTCCTTCATAGATCTACCCTGTGAGCCAGCTTTTTCAATTCTAGATGTGCATCCAAAAGAAAGCACATAAAATTAACATACCAAAGAGATACCCAGCCAGCCCATGTCCAGTGGGGCACTATTTACAACAGCTGAAATGCACCATCAGACAAGGTGCCCATAGACAGATTGAACAGATAAACAACGTGGGCTGGGCACCAGTGGCTCACGCCTGCAATCCCAGCCAGTCAAGAGGCCGAGATCTGAGGTTCAGGGTTCAAAACCAGCCCAGGCAGGAAATCATGAGGTAAGCTGGGCTCAGAGACACAAATGGTGCCTGCTGTCTCTCCTAGGTGGAAGCTAGATCTAAAGTACACAGAGACGTGATCAATGACACAGGGCTGCAGGCATTCACGCACGGGGAGACAGAGGAGGCTCGTGAGAGGATCAGAAAGGCGCAGGCCTCCGCGCCTCCATCATACAAAATAATAAGTACCGAAATGAACTCCAGGAAATGGAAGCAACAGGATTTTTGGCCCCATTGCTGTTTTTTTTCTTTTTCTTTTTGTTATCTGTCTTCGGGAAGGTAAGGGACGGGCACAGAAATGGAGGGACAAAGGGTGAACAAAAGCAGCAGCGGCTCACGCCTGTCATCCTAGCTACTCAGGAGGCTGAGCTCTGAGGATCGCGGTTCAAAGCCAGCCCCGGCAGGAAAAGGCCGTGAGACTCCTATCTCCAATAAACCACCAGAAAACCGGAAGTGGCGCTGTAGCTCAAGTGGTAGAGCGCTCGCCTTGAGCTGAAGAGCTGAGGGACAGCGCCCAGGCCCAGAGTTCAAGCCCCACGACCGATTTTAAAAACAAACTGATCAAATGCAGCAGTGGTGCTCACCGCGCACTGGGAGAAACATGAACTCCACAGCTGGTGGGTGTGGGGAGAGAGCCAGGGAAGGGACAACGCTGTCCAAACAGAAATGTGCCCTTTACCTGACCTACGTGACCGTAACCCTCTGCACATCACCTTCAGAATAACAAGCAAATCCTTCAAAAAAAAACCACCAAAAAAACCTGGAAGTGGAGCTGTGCCCTAAGTGTTAGCATGCTAGCTTTGCACCCAGGCCCTGAGTTCAAGCCCCGGGACATATACACGCATGGGGGGGGGGGGGAGAGGAGAGCGAGGAGACAGAGAGAAGAAGGAAAGAGAGAGGGGAGAGAGAGAGAAGAGAGAGGAGAGAGAGGGAAGGGAAGGAGAGAGAGGAAAGAGAAGAGAGGAGAGGAGAGGAGAGAGAGAGAGGAGAGGAGAGAAGAGAGAGGAGAGAGGGGAGGGAGGAAGGAAGGGGGAGGGGAGGGAGAGGGGAGGGGGAGGGGAGGGAGGAAGGAAGGGAGAGGGGAGGGGGAGGGGAGGGAGAGAAGAGGGGGAGGGGAGGGGTGGGAGGGGAGGGGGAGGGGAAAGAGAACGCTTGGGGCTTTTGCAAGAAGATTTAGGACTTGCTCAAAAAGACTTACAATCTGTACAGCTGTGCCTGCTAGGGAACAGGTGGGTCTTGGCAATGGATGTTTCTAGAAGAATTGGGGATTGGGTGGGTGCAGGCTGCTGGAAGGGCTCACCAGGGTGGGAACGGCCGCCAAAGCTCCCCAAGGCCTAGCCAGTCATTAGACCCCACGAGACGAAACACGGCCTCTCAGGCAGAAAACGAAGCCCCCCAAACAC